CATTTTTTGGCTACTTTCAGCTAAGACTGGTTGAAAATCTCAGATTTTCTTAAGTTTTGACCTGAACCCAATGCCTCATTTAGTTCTTGGTAACATTAGACACCTTCAAAAAGGGGTTGAAACTCAACTGGTCTGCACGCATCCCAGCTTCCTGACTTAGATCAAACCTTTTAACAAATCAGTCCCTGTTTCCCACCACATTCCATCCTTTAAATTTTTAACAAAACAACACTCAATCCTTGATAGCCTTTTTCACAACCCACCCACCCCATCATGCCTTTTTACTTGTCTCATAAATCAAGCAAACCTTTCTGAGGAACCCAATTTCCACATTTTTTGCTCTCAGACTACCCGAAATGATCTAATGAGTGGTGTGGGTTTTTGCTTTGAGACGTGGGATGTTGTATGGTGGGCTCTGGCCAGTCTGGACTTTGAATCAATGCAGTCTGACCCAGCCGCACTATTTCAAAGGGCCAAAACTGCAGCCCGTAACCACCATTAACTTCGTTTGCTGTGTCTGCCACATGTGGTATTTAAACTGAGGCTGAGGGAGGGTCAGTTTGAAGTTTCAAAAGTGCGGAACATTCTTTTAACGGCCAGCCAGAAGCCAATTATAGAGGCAGCAGCTTTAGATGGGGCGACGGATTGAGGCAAATAATCTTTCTTAGAGTGTATTTTATGGTTCAGCACTTATAGCTGCTTGAGCCTTTTGATGATGAAGGTTTTCACTGAAATGTGTGATGTAGCCGGTCTAATTTATGTCATTAAATTTTCTCAACAGTATAGCTTGAGAAAGGAGAAGCAATGAGATGTGCAGTTTAAGCCAATAATCATATAAGCATAGTTGGTGCTTGATTATTCATCTCCCACTAATATTTGCATTATTCAAACTATTAGTTGTAGTCACCCAACAAAAATGTGCTTGACAATTCTGATTAATACTACAGTGGAAAATGCTAGTAAAGCAAAGGTGTTAAATGTGGATTTTATGCCTTCCATATGGCCAATTCCACAGAAGCATTTGTGAATTGCGGTGGTTCACATACCACGACACAGGCTGGAAAATATGGATCGTTTTTGATTTTTCCATAAACATAAGTTTAGCTTTCTTCATCAAGACTTGAATCTTCAACACATGTGAACCTGCTGAACCTGTAATAGTTACATAAATTATATACATTTACGAAATCTCAGTAAATACTCAGTTTGCTATCATATATGCTAACTGACCACAAGGCTATTGCAACGTCATCGTCTCACTTTGGACGGGCGTGAAAGGAGAGCTGATGATGTAACTAGAGGAGCAGTGAGAGATGCATGGGGGCGAGGAACGTCAGGCAAATCCCATGAGGAATGCTCCACTGAATCCCACAGGAATGTGGCCGCAAAAACCTCTGCTGCACAACAAGCAAGCAATGAGGGCATCCCTCAACCACCACCACGCCTTGACAGCCAGACAGAGGAAACCCTGACCAGGAAGTGACTTAAAAACACAACATGGGATTCCCAAATGCTTCATTTCAAGCATTTATCCAAACAGCATAACGCCTTCTGGATCATTCCGTTTTGGTTCTTAACAAACTGTTCTTTTGTTATCCTTATTGTTAGGCCCTGTTTGGAGCTATAGGGACTTTAAGATTGAGTAAATTGTTAAATTGTACACATTTTCCATGGTAACAAAATAAAATTGACCATTAAACATGTCAAATAAACTGATTAACATGTTTAGAAAGTTCTAAAGAGAAAGTTTTGCAACAGAATAATAGACAGACAGACAGACAGATAGACATACTTGGTTAAAATACCAATACTACAAAGAGCATATTTTGGTTGAACACTAGTAACCTGAGCACTCAAATTAACTGGTCTGGGAGCTGTCCAGACAGAACGAAAATGAGATGGTGTAATTGCGCAGCTATGGAAAATAGCTTTTGGCAGCCAGATTACCACTCTGAAGTATTCAAGCGTTGTTCACTTTTTGTCTAGAGAACAATAAACAGCCTCCAAATTATGTGCAGAACACCCACCTGCCTCCCAACCCTGACCATACCCCTCTTATGAGGAAAGTAAAAGGCAGTCATGTGACCACATACCCCAGTGACTTCTGTCAACAGGTTTTCATTTCTCCAATGCCTGGAGTCCTTTCCATTACATCATTAGATGGTGGCCTTTGACCCCTCTCAGTGAATAGGTGCATACTGTCGTAGCTCACCAAATTTAGTTCTGTTTGCCGTCCTCGTCACTCCTACCAGTTTTAGAATCAGGTCATCATTTACAACCACCTTTTTCAAAGCAAGTTATCCACAGCCCACTCTTTAAACAGTTACCTTTCACCCCCTCCCAACCATTTTACGACATCATCAGCTTTTCCATCATCCTCTTTTAAAGCTGTGCAACAGCTTGAATAAACTCCATGAAGGGGGGGCTACAGGTATGCTTCTGTTCAAAGAACTGGCTGAAAGTTGTTTTTGAAATATTCTGTTGGTGGTAAAGTTTCAGTCTTCCTTCATCCTCCTAGGGAGGTAGTAAGCGTGACATTAAAGTTTAGCAGAGCTGAAAGTATTTATCTTTGCTTCATTGAGGCAGGAATGTAGCTCCAAGCACTAAAAGAGCTTAGCGCATAGTATGAAGGTAAGAACACGATTCTTACACGCACCTGAGTTGCGCCACACACAGTTATGTTTATTTAGCCACCAGTCTGTGGGCACAGTCCATCCTGCTTGACCACAGAAAAACTTGCATGGCCTAACACACGCAGAGCACATTGTTAATGAATGATAAAAAAAGTTGTTACACTAGATTCTCGCTATTTACCAACCATTAAGTATGACTTTTAGCTCAATAAAACCCTAATTTGCTGCTTAATATTATTTCTTAAGCTAGTAGTTGGGTTTGGGTATTGAGCAAGATTAGGAATGTCGATTAAGAATATGTTTTTTATAAGTACTAATAAACAGATAATATCTTAATTATAAACAGGAAATAAGCCACTTGCTAATAGTGTGAATTGGTCTCTATATTGTTACCCCCACTCAAAAAAAAAATATTGACTTGTGGGTCTATATAAAGTGTAAGTATACTAATAAAAATGCATTAACATTCCAATTTTGTTGTAGATGTACAATCATACTCATTAGTCATGATCATTACTGTAAGTGGGTGGAGGCTGGCAGTAGCTTTCAGCTAAGCTAGAATGAGAGGTTGCTGACAGACAAAGCATATTACAATCCTCAACACCGGTAACACTGTTTCCAGACTAGAAGGAAAGAGTGTGGACAAGAGAATGAGAGAAGCAGTCAGGGGTGAGCAACAAGAGAGCCTAGAGTGAAGATTCCCATATAAGGCAAGTCTTCCTCTGAGACTGCATGTAGTAACAGTATGTCTGCTGGCAGGAGGATAACATTCCTTCACCTCCCGTTTCTTCTCTGGGAGTTTTTCATTTCCGATTCGCCGGCTGGCAAGAGGCAGTGCTCCCTTTCATAAGAGCGAGGAGGGGAGTCTGGGGATCCTTCTTTTTCTGTTGGAAAAAATATACAAACGCTAAAGTCTAGCCACTTTCCTGCTGGCCTTCTGTCTGTGCTCTGTCTGCTTTCTGAAGGAGAAAAATAGAACCATACCACACCTGCACTGTAAAGCACATGGCTGACTAAATGTTATTAGCCAGGTGAAAGTATATAATTAAAGAAAAACATCATGGTTATTTACATATTCAGAATCTACCTTTTCCACATCAAAACATATGCAAGTATGCATATGTAACATATTATCACATAGACTTATGAATAAGCATTTTAAGATCTTTTACAAGTGTACAAAGCACAATGTGTAAAACATGACCTGCAAGTTAAAAAATGGTCTACCCAAATTATGTCATTACTTACAGTATTCCACCCACATCAACCTAAATCTGTTTTACTTTATTTCCTCTATGTTTTTTTTTTTGTTTGTTTAACTATTCTTTCTCATGTAGTGATAGTCAACACTGGACACTACTGACACTTACTGTATGGACAAAATATGTTCCACAAATGAAACAAAGATTTGGAAAGGCCTTCGAGTGAGCAAAGGATAACAGAATTGACACTTATAATCAAGCTGTTTTTTACCTTATGTTTATTAGGCCACTGATTATTGATTTATTATCATCAACTGCTAATCATCACACGGTTATTTAGAGCAGTGGTTCTCAAAGTGGGGGTCGGGACCCCCCGAGGGGTCGCGGGGCAATGAAGGGGGGTCGCCTGGTGATTTCCAAAAATCTATTTATTTTTGTTAAACCATAAGAATTAACATATTTTATCCATAACTATACTGAAAATAAAAATAGTCGTTTATAGTTACTATATACTATATAGTTACTATAGTAGCTTATAGTTACTAGTTCTATTGGATTGCGACCCCTGGGGTAATTACATTATATTAAAGGCAGCAATAGCGTCAGATGCATTTTGATTTTATAACATCAGGTTATACTTTCTGGCACATTTAAAGCACTGACACAAATTTAATTGGTGTGTCTGCCTTATTGCATGCAAGGTTTCTGTATTTATAACCACCTCAGAGGATATTGGGGGTCGCGAGTCACTGGCATTTTTATTTTGGGGGTCGCGGGCTGAAAAGTTTGGGAACCCCTGATTTAGAGAACACTGAAGGCCAAAAGTCAGCATTATTAATTCTGAAAAACATGCACCCATCTATCTCTAAGACAAATTGCTTAAACTACCAACAAGCACTGCAAGATGATGCCAAGACTGCACTTTTATTTTGCTATGTGACAGCCCAGGAATGTAGGATGGCAGTGGGTGCGGGTGAAGCGGAGGGGGAGAGGGGAGTGGAGAGCAGAGGGGGGGCAGGAAACTAGGAAAGAATGCCAGGAATGCCCATGTTTATCCAGCGTTCCATTGAGGTGGAGGCAGTCCACCACAGCTCAGCGTGTATAAAGGTAGCTCAGCTGCTGCTAGAGAATCAGAACACTCCAAGCCCTCCAGAGAGAAGCAACAGTCACTCGACTCGGCTCAGCCTAAACTTCTTACCAAAGCTAAACTCTAGCTTTCACTCAACACGATCAGGAGGAACTGGATTCAAAGACTACACAACGAGATCGACTTGATCAAATCTGAAGAGAAGACTTTGTAGGATCTCAAAAGAAGATTTTTCTTTTTGCTACAAACTTTAAAGAAGTCATCATGTTTTCTGGAATGACTCAAAGTGTGATTGCTCTGCTGTTCCTGACTTTCTTAAGATGGGTAAGTAGTTTTAATTATCCTAAGAATTACACAGCTATCTTATTTGAGTGCATGTGGAGATATAGAATGGTATTAACTAGCATGATCAAGCTAGGCTTAAAATGGAGCTCTTTAGCAAATGTACAAACTCTCACAAGAACATTTTGTCTTATTCCTCAGGCTGTGGCTCAAGAGTGCAGTGGACAATGCCACTGCCCTGAAGTGCCGCCCCAGTGTTCACCTGGTGTAAGCCTAGTTCTGGACACCTGTGGGTGCTGCCGGGTGTGTGCCAAGCAGCTGGGCGAGCTGTGCACAGAACGAGATGTTTGCGACCCCCACAAAGGTCTTTACTGTGACTACGGCTCCCCAAGTAACCGTCGTATTGGTGTCTGCACAGGTAAGGATCTTGGCTGTTGAATTACATGTGTCAAATCTTTACTTGATGATCAGAGTCAGAATTGTAAACAATCTTCCATCTCCGTCCCACAGCCAGAGATGGTGCCACTTGTGTGTTTGGTGGAATGGTGTACCGCAGTGGAGAGTCTTTCCAGAGCAGTTGTAAATACCAGTGCACGTGTCTGGACGGTGCTGTAGGTTGCGTGCCCCTCTGTGGAATGGACATCAGGCTCCCCAGCCCAGACTGCCCAATGCCCCGCAGGGTGAAAGTGCCTGGGAAGTGCTGCGAGGAGTGGGTGTGTGACTCCCCTCGTCAAAACACCTTTGTGGGATCAGCTTTAGCAGGTGAGCATTTCTCAATCTTAAAAGCCAAACTGTGATGGAAAAATTACTCCTAAAGAATGTATTTAGACAAAGTAATGGTCTTGGTATTAGGGGGTTTAGAATGAATATCAGTATAACATCAGATGTAACAATAAGAATAGCAGGATGACATCATGCTGTTGGATGGAATGTGTTGAGTAACATCTTATTGCTTCTTGTAGCTTACAGAGAGGAGGAGACATACGGTCCCGATCCCTCCATGATGAGAGAGAACTGCCTGGTTCAGACTACAGAATGGAGCGCATGCTCAAAAACCTGTGGCTTGGGAATCTCTACTCGTGTGACCAATGACAACCGTGAGTGCCGCCTTGAGAAGCAGTCTCGCCTTTGCATGGTCCGCCCTTGCGAGTCACACCTGGAGGAGAAAATAAGGGTAAGGGGCTATCTACCGATAAAATGAAATCATGCCACAGCTTCAATCTTGCTTTCACCGTGATGTAACTGAGCTTTATGGTTAACCTTCATTTTTTATCTTTCCAGAAAGGGAAAAAGTGCATCCGCACACCACGAGTCTCCAAACCCATGAAGTTTGAGATTTCCGGCTGTACCACTACCAAGTCTTACAGACCCAAGTTCTGCGGCGTTTGCACAGATGGTCGCTGTTGCACTCCTCACAGAACCGCCACCTTGCCCATGGAGTTCAAGTGCCCCGATGGCCAAGTCATGAAGAAGCAGATGATGTTCATCAAGACCTGCGCATGCCACTACAACTGCCCTGGGGAGAACGACATCTTTGAATCCATGTACTACAAGAAGATGGTTGGCGACATGGCGTGAAAAGTCATGACCTGACAAGGAGTTCCATGCAGTGACTGTCCACTTGAATTGAACAGATATCCATCTCATATCTCAGCACAAATTACTTGTTTGTCTTTTTATGGTTTGTTGCTTTCATTTTACGTCTTTTTGCGTGTATGTGTTTGCATCTTGTTGGTGGACTCTGGATTTCTATGCTGTATGTGTATTCATTTGTCATGGTGGATGTCTAAGCCTAGGGGGTGGGGATCGTAAAATGACCGGGCCCTGTTCGGACGCCCCTAAAAAACAATACTGCACTATAGTCCGATGCTGTGACGCCCAATGTCACTGATTGGCAGATGACGCCAAGCCCCTCCTCTAAACTGTGGTGAGCAGATTCAGATTCTGAGAGCAAAAATAGTAAGAAATGGATGGCAGCTTTAACCCCAGAAGCTAATCGCCTCACCAAGCTAAGAAGGCGGAAAAAAGAGACAGAGAGAAATTGATGTGCTCTTATGTTTAGTTGATATTGTCAGCTCAGAGTTTGATTGAGCTGATCCAAGACATGAAGTTTGGCCAAGAACTATGAAGGTTAATATAGCACTGAGTGTTTGACTGTCTGGCCCCTCCTGTTGGGAAAGAGCCAGTATCCCTGTCAAAAAGACTGGATGAATTGTAGCTTCATTCTTTTTTATGACAATATCTATTTTTGAAAGCTGTAAATAATGTACATATTTTGTACAGCTTAAGTTAATTTAAATTGAAAGCATTTTGTCTTCTTATTTCCTTGCTTCGTCATGTTTAATGATAGCTTCATGTGCTGACTTGACTATTCTTGGTACAGCTTGTCCAATATTTTATTGAGAAGTGTGACCAAAATGTTACATGTTTTCACTTTTGTAGTTTACAATAAAATATTATATTTTTATACAAACATTGCCATACTTGGAGTCGTTTTTACCCTCATACTGAAAACAAAGCAACTTCATACAGTACATCTGATATCAACCACACAATAATGGCACCATGTTTTTACAAAAGCCTCATGTTCACACTTCAATGGCATTTTTACATCCCCAGTGTGGACCACACAGCTGAGTTGTGTGCGGTCCATCAAGCTCAAGACCACACACATGGTCCTCCTGACACATGCACATTCAGAACATATACAACGATAATGTAAGAGCTGGAATAAGTGCATACTTGACAGTCTCATTTGGTGAAAATATTGATACATTAATGATATACATATCATTAAAATGTTTTTGAATGTGATGCCTATGCTCACCTGTGCTGACTCAAAACAGAATAACTTTGTGAAAAATGTTGCAATTCAACAATTCAATTCGAATACAACTCATATTTTCTAAAATGCAACATGTAATGTTACCTAAAGTTAAATAATAGCATTTACTCGAAATAGAAATCTTTATTTGAAATCTAAATCGCAATCTGTACTCAATTTAATGCGTTCTTGCTCGTTTTTTATCGTTTTTGTTTTTCTTTAACACCATTAGCAGAGTATTTAATGAGTCCAACTCGTCTCAGACTAGCAAAAGTACACAGCAAAGTTGTGTAGTTATGTAGTGTGTAGTTTACACAGCAAACGCATGATAGCACATAAGAGAACTAGTAACCTTTATAGGACAAACAATACACACAACAACAGTGTGTGAGACAAGAGGAAAACATACAAGTCAAGTTCAGCGAAGAGCAGTAACTGATAGAACGAGGTAATGGTAAAGTTTTTTTTTTAAGTAAATACAAGATTTAAACTTACTTAAGTGTTTTAGGTATCATTTTTCAACATATCCATTGGTCTTTCTAAAAAAAACACATTTGCTAATGGGCGTTAACAGACTGTGCAAGTACTCAAATGATGTAAAACGAGCGCCATCTAGTGCATCAAGTGTTTTAGTGAAATCTCCTACAGTACCCTGAAGCGAAGTTATATTTATTTATTTATTTATTTATTTATTTATTTATTCATTCATTCATTCTCAGGATATGAATTCTTGAGGTCAACATTTCAATTCCTAATTCTTGATATTATCATTTTTGATATCCGGATTGGATTGTTGATATCAAAATGCTGATTGTTGATATTAAGATTTACATTTCAACTAACAATGTTAATTATTGATATCAACAATGATATTTAATTAAGCTGCTGAATTTAATTGAATCAAAAATTAATATCTCGCATTATTACTAGTGGAAAAACAAATTCCTAATATCAAAAATGTAGATATCAACATTTCAATTCCTGATTTTAACTATGTCAAATTAAAATTCAAAACACACACAGTCCATATCATGCATTTCTATCTGATCAAAACAATATAAGAACAAAATTAATTGTTATTGTCAACTTAATAAAGAAGCATTAAGCATGTGTGCAGATGTTTTGATTTTCAAGAGATGTATCCGAAATTGCAGACTTTCTTGAAAAAGAGGTACTTACTTTTTGTGCCCCCTAACATATGGGTTAAATACCATGAATATGTGTTATATCATCACTTCACTACAATCTTTTTTTTATTATTATTCCCATTCTCAGGTCCCAAAAGCAAAATGCTAAACAGTTTAAAGTGCAACATATTTTAAAAAATTATAAAAAATAATAAATAATAATAATTAAATAAATAAAGTTACTGTGTACATAAATTTCTGATTAAAAAAATACAAGCATTTTACAATGAATGTATCCCACCTGAAAGAATGTAAGGATACAAGTCAAGTCAAGTAAGTACTTACCGTTAGTAGGCTACTGTAGATTAATAATATTGGGACAAGTTTAATTTTCAAATGTTATGACTCACTGGGTAGTTTGATATGTTCATGACTTAGAACTCTTTGTGATGAAGACTGAAATATTATTGAGAAACAAGACTGTAATGCAAGGTATTGCTGTCTGCCGAAACAAATCAAATAGTAATTAAAACTGCCCAGTTAAATTAAATAATGATAATAGTGTGTTGTGTGCTGCCTAAAGAGCATTGATTTTCTAAATTATTGCTATGACCTAAACCAGAACTATCATTAGTCCAAAAAAAGACACAAAAAGACTAGTTTAGTTGAGGATTGAAGTTTAACTGGAATAGCACACAGATGACTGCAAGAAACCCACATACAACTTTTTACATATTTACATATTTACTGTAGCAAAATAAAAGGCAATGGTCAAAACAGAACCAAACAGTATAATGAAGAAAATCCAAAAAGTGTCATCTTGGTCACAGAGTGAAAAAGAAAACCAGGAACAGGTGGCCCACACACTTTATTGGCTAATCTAGATGTTCTTTATAATAATTGGGTAGATTGAATGGAACAGTTGCATGGTGTCCCTCCTCTTCAAATCCTCTTGGCACTATTAAAAACAATATAAAAGTCAGCATTGAAACATTGTAATGTTAAAATGTGGAAATAAGGAATTATGATAAAGTATCTACATTTGAAAGATTGAGGCAGTGTAAAATTATTAATAACATACCATCTCCATGAGGGTCAGCCTCTGTTTCATAAACATAGCCAGCAATATGGATGGTGAATTCTTCATTAAAATCTGCCTGCTTGGGGTTGAAATCTTCATATGATGACTTCAGATCGTCATAGAGAACCCAGTGATCAAAACCCAGGTGTATGCCTGCCGTCATGTGGGATCTCATTGACATTAGTAAAAATTTTAGTTTATAATTCCAGTAAAAAAAAAATTAAAAATCAGTGGAAATAAATAAAATACAAAAAATTAAAAAATAAAAATTTAGTTTTAATGAGGGCTAAAGTCTAACTGGCTAGCCTGCTCATTAGCAGCTAAACAATCATTGTTGTGTCTAATTAAAAAGATCCCTATTATGTAAAGTGATGTTGAAAGAGTTACTTGTACAATCACTGATATAGTAGATGTACTTCATTCCACAATGTCACTTGTATGAAATAATTGGTTGTCTTCACCTGTAATAATCATCCTCTGAATCAAGTTTAGTGGTGGTGCTCTATCCAATCCAGGATGTATTTTAACCAGGATGAGTAATGGATTCTGATCATTAAAACCCAGGCAATGCACATTGCCGAGGCATGCAAAATTTCTGAGGAAGAGAAAAAAAATTCAACATGATTCAAGATATGTTTGGCTCAAGTAATATTCGGTAAGGTAAACAAAAACTTATTGGTACTTAGTTTATTTAATCTCATCTCTAAATTCCCTCTTATGTACAGTATTATAGTTTACATGTACCCTATTCATTCATCTTTTTGTTTTTACAGTCTAAAATTTTTTTGTCATGATTATTTACCCCAAAAAAATCTAAAAATCTAAATTCGAAGTGTAGAATGTTTGTGTACTTTTTCCATAATCTAATAAGTATTAGCCGGCAACTTCAGAAGGTAAACCGATGGAAACAACTAATGGTTTAAATAGATTTATTCAATAGGAACTGCTCTTTTCATTTGCTTTGTCAATGTAAAACTGTCTAAAAAGCTTAGCTTATCCTAGTTAAGCTATTGTTTAGCAGGCTCTTAGCAACAGCACAACTCATACAGCAACAATGGAGATGTAGGATCTATTGTAAGAATTTAATTTACCTTTCTGAAAGGTAATGTTTATATTTAAGTAGTTTAGTACACATCCTCAAAATTTAAGAGCAGTGCTTTTATCGCTTTGGGTAGGATGATTGCTGAGTCACAGGTAAGGTGATCCGGAAGATGATTTTTGACAGACAAATGAGTTCTTCCTGAAGTACAATGTAATCACGTGACAAGTATGACGTTTATTTTAATGCATACAAGAATATAAAAGATGACCATATAGCCTACACAAGTTTAATATTTATAATCTATTTAGTATATCTTTATACTGTGCAAGTTCATTTGTTCTCTCGTTTAGGAACCCGTTAGGTTGGCCCTTATGGCAGTATAGGTCTGGGTATGCATGCAATGTGTTTAGCTTCTAGGGATATTTTGGGAATGTTTGTAATGTACTGTAAATGCTTTCGTTCACCAGCATTGATGTTTGCTGAAGGCTTCATATAATTAAGATTTTTCTTTTGGGTTTTTAATGAGTTGATATGCATGGTGAATTAAACCTGCAGTTCTCAACAATAACCAGGGGCCCAATAGGGGGGCTCAGCAAACCACTCTTAAACCAATGTGTGTCATGGTGAAATTAAATAATTCACAAATCGAGTGTCCAAAATGACAGATTTGCTCTTCATTATGTTTTTGATAATTTTACAGTAGAAGCACCTTTCATACATGGAAGTATGATAGTATAACAGGCTAATTATGGGTCATCCTACAGAAGCATCTATGGCAATATGTCTTAAATGTATTTGGGTAATTCTTCAACTACACCCACTTTTATGTCCTTTGACCATATATCCAAAAATATATATAATTTTGTTCAAATTCTTTTTTCTTTTTCAAACTAACAATAAAACCTACTTTAAAAAAATACTGTCTTTAAAATTTAAAACTTTAAAATTACTATATATATATATATATATATATATATATATATATATATATATATATATATATTTTTTTTTTTTTTTTTTTTTTTTTTTCATATTATTCAACCTCTTTTTAGGTGTCAAAATCACTGTTTTCACCTTGTCGCACACCCAGAGTTTTAAACTTCAACAATGAAAATAACATTTTAAAATATTATTTATCTGGTATCTATTAATGTATCTTAATTAAGCACTAGTGAAATAATTTAAACATTTGGTAGTTATTAATGTGAGACTATTATCGATATTATTTTTTATAGCTGTCTCACAGTATCAGTGTGATTTCCATCACAACACTGTAATGTCGCTTTAAAAGGTTTGTGTGTAAGATTATTTGGGTGGTTTCAATGAAAATGAGTAGTGTCATCTGAGAACATGTTCAAGATGGAGGGATTTTCAATTTTCATCAGCGACACTTGAAGAAAAGTCAAGGTAAATATTGCTTGATAAGGAAATACATTTATTCTACGTCATTTCCAAACATGTTGTACCTTCAAATATCTTTTTAAAAACCAAACAAAATTAAGGTAAACAAGAGTGTTTTGTAGACATGAAAGGCTAGTATCTATTCAAAACTAATCGCTAAAGCTATTTTTCATTTTTCACAATAAACTGTTGAAATGTCATTTCCACCACTGTCATTTCCACCACCACACACATTTTTAAAAAAGATTCAAAAAGTTCTCATCACACATTATAACTGTATTCACAATGTATAAGTTCATGCTTTATTAAATATACAAATTTAGTTTTTTTTCTTTCTAATAAGCTCTTAACCAAATTAAAATAAAACTTAATTTTTAGTGTTACAGGTGTACAATTCAGCATACCACTAATTTATTTCATTGACAAATGTATCATTATCATATACATTATGGAAAGATTGGTTAAACTAAATACAAAAATGATCTTGAACAATGTTTGACTGCCATAATTAATTTCATTTTGAAATAAGCTGTATATTGAGATGTGGTGGAATTGACATTTGTTCAGTTCACGATGGAAAAAATTTTCTTATCTAAGTTTGTCCTCTTACAGATCCTAAAACTAGACAAATTGTTTAAACTTTTGAGGCTATGTTACGTTAATTTTGAACAAGTTTTTTTTACTCAACTTCACAAAGCTAAAAGTGTCCGTATTGATAAATGGCCCATTTATTATTCTAATATTGAACGTTACATTACATTATGATGATGCATTTTACTGATGCTGCAATGTATCTAAACACATGTTGTCAATTATGGTATACTCATCAAATTACTTTAATCCATTTGTGTTCATTTTTTAACATGCTAGTGACTAATAGTTTTTCTAAACATTTCTGATAACCGAAAAGACAGTGGAAAGTTCCAAATAATCTCTTACTATATTTCTCAGTGAGAGTTTGGTTTAGGATTGGATAGTTAGTAAGGATAAAAAGAAATAGGTTAGACCATATCTTACCATAGAACTTTGTTGATGGATGAGGCACATGAAGTAAATGTCCACTCTAAAAGCAAATTAATAAAAATACATTTCATGAAACATAAATCCAGTCAAAATGATGATTAACAAATCAAAGAAAAAACTGAAGTGCAGGCCTTATCCCTAATGGGAATAAGGGTCTTAAATAACTCACAATGCATGCATGCTTATGAATATGACACGTCTTATGTTATGCTATCTTAAAATGTGGTTCCTTTGGTTATTATAGATACATATTATGCATTGATTACTAACTGTTTTTAACATCTTGACTTGTTTTGCAAATAGAAAAGTTCTGCTTTCACTGTAGCTATTGTGTAAGCCTGAGTAACACCATCTGTTAGGGAACTACTTCCTCAGTTTTTCAATTAAAGGACATTTCTGTCAGTTTCTGAAGAATGTAAGTTTCACCTGTTCTACTGATGTTAATCCCAATCAGGCACCTCATCATAGCAGAATATTTTGGTTTGATTTGTATCTACTAACATGTCATTAAATCATATTCTTTTCACAATACATTGTAAAATAAACATTCACTGTTATTCAAGTGTAATATTTCTGTTATAAGGACAGAAAAAAATTATATTTCCATATAATGTCAGAACAAACGAAAAATGGTCAATAACAGGCTATATACTTTCAAGGTTTTGGAAATAATAGTTTATTTTAAATATTGGAGATCTCCCTCTACGTTGTATTGTAATGTTGGTGGTTTTGATAGGCCTATATTTGTTTTGTTTAGGTGAAGGCAACGTTCAGCAAAAACATTTACAGTAAAAAAAATATGGTAGGCTATGGTAAAGGATGACGGCACGAGTCTGAACGTGGGTGCGCGCGTCTGAAGGAGCGCGTTCACGATTCGGCTTTTTGAGAGACGTCACCTAGTAACGCTTGGGGGCGCGCAAAACATTCAACAGATGAGTCGGCTGTTCTCCGCATCATTTCGACAACGACGACGATTAGCATTAAATAGTGTGTACGTGTACCCACTGTTTCAATAAGGTAAAGCCCGTCATTACTTTACTTATGTAGTGTACACGTTTGTCAGTTTTCTTTTAATAATTTCATGACAATAAAACATTTGAGAATAAATAGCCTAGATTTGGAAGCCATATGAAGCTTAAGTAACTTTTTATTTTAATAACATTTTCTTTTAACATTTTCTTTAATAAAATGTATTAGGAATAATAAAATAGCTTAATAAAATTGTCTGCTTGTAAACAACATTCTTAAGCTCTACAGTTCACTGGGTGCGTTATATTCTTAAGTTACTGTTTTAGATCCATAAGCTGCAATGCTCTTTGCTTTTCATCTGCCATCAAGAACACTCAAAATGCTATTTATTGTCTGCTCCAGATATTTCAGATGAAGTTTGGTTGGTCATGCCAGGTGGAGTCCTTCAGCGCTGAGCAGTTCAGGACTTCATGCATGGATGCCTTTTCTTTCTTCTCAGCATGTAGTGTGTGGTGTCAGGCTGTTCGCTGTTGAAAACCCCGGAGAATCAGATGCTGCACTTCAGGTTACACTGACTGAACTCAACTGCCCCATGATGTCACAGCATCATTATATTTCATGGCATAAACAAAGACCAAATGACTTATTAATGTCAAATTAAGCTCACAATAGCAGTGAATGGACTGTGGTTGTTCCAGATTAATAGTTTTAATTTCTAAGGTATTTAAAAATTAATTAAAAGAGAAAACACTTCTGTTTATTAAGCCTAACATATGAAATAATTTATTAAACCTTTAGAAAAACTTATCTTTATAACAAAACTAGGTTTTCATATGCACATACTGTATACAAATACAAATATAAGTTCCTGAAAAGCCTGATGATAAGAAAAATGTATGTTGTCAAATACTTTTATATAGAAACCGGTTAATTTAAACCAGAGGTGCTCAACCCTGTTCCTGGAGATCTACCTTCCTGCAGAGTTCAGCTCCAGCCCTAATGATGTTTGATATGGGTTGCAACTGAAATATGGGTTTGATATGGACTGCAACTGCAGGAAGGTAGATCTCCAGGAATAGGGTTGGTCACCACTGATTTAAACTAAAGCATTATTACTATTTTGAGTATATTTTTAAACAAATAAATACAATGATTTCTTTAAAACATGTTAAAAATATTTGAGATTAAGAGACCACTTTAAAACTTGTGTTTTATAGTCGTTTGAATACAATGTTTTTTTTTTTTAATAAAATGTCTTTTTTCATAAAATAACAGAATTTCAGACGTGTTTGTGATCATTTTTAGATAACACAGCATCGACTTCAGAAGAATTAAGAAATTAAATTTATTTTAATTAAATCAATGTTAAGTATAACTTTCATATAATATAAAAATTTCACAGCAAAAAGACATACACAACTAAAAGCTTTTACTTTAATAATAAAAGTTTTAAAAAGTATACCAATGGTTTATATGGTTAAACCAAAATAATTTTTATTCATTAAGTACAGAAATTAACAGTTTTATTGTTATGTTCTGCATGAGAACATCATAATATGAGAACATCAAACTGTCATGCTGTATATCTAATTGTATGCATATGTCAGTGTTATTGCTCCTGTACCTGCAGTGTCTTCAAACAGCGTTCATCGGTAAACGTGTTACACAGGAATTTAATTTAAAAAGACCTTGAAGATCTGATCAACCTGTACAATGATGAATTCAAAGCCTATATGTGACAGTCAAAACACCCTTTCACTCAGCTCCAAAAAACAACTACTGGTACATCAACACTTACATTATAACACATTAAATACTATTTAAATAACGCATTACACACTTTCCTCAACTCCGTTGTTTGTTCACATACAGGAACAGTTACGCCGTGAACAGCAAGAAGTGAATGCCATTACACAGCCACTGCTGGAGACTGAGGCTCGATTCATTAAGGTGATGTTTTAGGTACTGTAGCTATTAAGACTTGATTCTTTCTGTCACCCACGATTCATCTGTGTTTGTGTGCAGGATCTGGATCTGTACCTCACTCATAAAGACACACTGAACCTGAGGAAGCGCAAACTCCTTCATAAACGCTGGACTCAGAATGTGTGGCTGCCTATTCAGCAGAGCATTCAGCAACATTTTATGGAGCATGGATATAATGAGATGCAGAAAATGAGGAGCATGCATGCACACTATATAGATTACTGTAATGCTAAGGTACTGTGGTGACTGTATTGTGACCCTGTGTTCATTTACAGGAATTAAGATAATTATGCTGTTAAGCTTTAGTCAAAAAATTAACTTACTAAAGCTTTTCATTTTAACTCTGAATATGTAAATTTGCAAGGATTAAACAGAAAAGCAGTAAACAATATGAATATAGAGGCGTTAATATTATTTCTTGGGGGGGTGTAATCATTTGCTTGATTTGTTTATTGTATTTTAACAGGCCATTGTTTTGTTATCTCTTATATATTCTTTAAAAGTATCAATGAAAATATATATTTTATTATATAAATAGATTTTAAAAAATGACAGCCTTTTTCTTTAATTTGTTTTTTTTTAAAAGACAGTTCTCTTTTAAAAAAAATCTGTTTGTTTTAATATAATTGAAACAATATAAAATACAAATATTTCAATATTTTTTATTGTTTTATTTCTATAAATACGTAAAAATTATATTCTAATATATAATTGGCTGTACAAATACAAAAAGAAATTACAAATTTATTAAAAATAATTATAAAAATGTATTTGGGGTTGAAATGTAAAAAACTGAAAAGCTTTACAAAACCTTTTTTTAAGCTGCTTATTTAAAATGTCTCACTAGTGCACATTATGAGAGTGCATTATACTAGTGTTCTAATATTTACTTATTTTCAGTTAAGATAGCTCAAACATGCAATTCAGTCTTGCATCAGCCTTTACTGTGAAACCCGATATTAGATAGTGATATTTGCACCAGCTTTTTGCTGGTTTTTATAGTGAGCAAGCTTCAAATGTTAGGCCTATTGTTGTCATGTAAATAAATACTATGGCTATAAAGAATGTCTAATCAATGGTAAATTAAATTGAAATGATTGAAATCTGTGTTTATGATATTTTTTAGGGTTTTGTGTTTCTAGAGAGTTATGATCCTCTAGAGTACAATCCATTCCTCCACTATTTCAGCACACCACAATATCACAAAGTGAGTCCTATTATTATTAATAATATTGTTATTATTATTAATACACACTGATTTGGTTAAATATTAAATGAGGTCTTTTGAGCAGATTTCCACTCCAGCACTGGAGGATCCTCTGTCACTTCATTCCAGAACAAGGATTAAAGAAAAGACGACAATACTTCGCTGTCAAACAGGTGCTGTTTATCCTTTCCCAAAATATATCTGCTATTAATCTCAATTCGTATACCTTTCATCCTAAATAGTACTCAAAATTTAAACTTATATGTACCAAACCATAGTATGTTTTAATAAATAGATCAAATCTACCGGGATGGTCTACTATTTCCAGTAGAAATCCGAAGTGCAGATCTGTGCGTATTCTTAACAGCTAATTTTGACATCCGCTTAGAACTACAAACTTGGGTCAAAAAAGGTGGAAATAAACTACAAGCATGGCAAATGCACAAGATCTATGGTTAAGTGGAGAGGCTTAGTTAGAGATTCACATCTAACCTAATGAAAAATATGTATTATTTTATGCTTTCTGCATTATATTTAATCTCTAGCAACATTGTAAACTTTTATAAACATGCGTTTGGTCATTTACTTCATAATACTTCTTAATACAGAATTTGTACGATTAAGATTTTTTGCATAAAAAACCCATGAATGGCAGATGAATGTGCTGCTACATCACCAATATATATAAAAATTGAGTAGAATTCCTGATATGACTGACAGAGCATGTAACAAAGCAACGGAATGGTCCATTAATGAGGAATTAGTATGTACCAAAAGCATATTTTTCTTCACAAAAAAAAGCACATTTTAGGATGTAATATAAGCGAATTGGGACGCAGCAGTTCATTATAAGTACAGTGGGGAACTAAAGGTCTTTTGTTTGACATGCTATTAAAGGTCACATATATCAGCGTCAGCAGGTAGAGGAGATTCTCCAGAGTCCACCTGCTTCCCAGCAGAGCTTCAAACAGGCCAGAACCTCCAGAGATTCAGGCTCACTGAGACTTTGGGAGGACTGCAGATCAAGGTAACTTCGGGTTCACTGCAAAGCTGCTTTTGTGTCAGTTCAGCCCCGTTTAGAAATGGTGTTTAGATGATATTTAATCAATCCGATCAATGTTTTGAAACCAATTTCAATTACTTCCAGAGAAAACAAAACACGATCTTGAGGTTGACTGTTCATAAAGTAAAAAAAAAAAAATCACCCTTTCTGCCAACTGACCGAATATGTGGTCATTATGGGATGTGTAGCGAGAAAACTAAAGACTAATACAAGACATTTCTTTTGAGAGAGTTATAAATCAACTGTCTGGTTTCTAAAACCTTTCACTTAGAAGCTAAAATCTACATTTCCACTCGCATTTATCATGATAGGTATCGATCGATGTCAACTGATATATAGCGGGAAAAATAAGTATTGAACATGTCACCATTTTTCTCAGAAAACATTTCTAACGGTGCTGTTTTTGAAGGAGAAATTTGTCCCAGATGATGTTAACAGCCAAGGAAATCCATATATGCAAGGAAAACAAATCAAAGTTTACAAATTAAATTATACATGATAAAATTAAATGACGTAGGGAAAAAGTATTGAACACATGAAGAAAAATTGGTTCAGAAAGGCAATGAAAGCCCAGAAAGCAACTACTGAAATCTCTTTACTGAAAAATTTTTGCTGCAACCCTTCAGCAAAAAAAAAATCTATTTGTAAGCTGTGCTGTGCTGTGTTGAATCGAAACACACACATTAGATTGAAACATGTACATGTCTTTTACATCTTATGCATTGCACTGAGCTCTGAGCAAAAGTGATGTAGAATGTAAAAAAAAATAAGTGGAAAATGTCTGAACGCACATGTTCACTAAAGACAATGTTAATATCTAGTGGAAACGGAAATGTGTCTTGAATGACCACTTGTGATTATATCACGCAAAATCGCATGTTATTACCAGGTGGAATCAGGGCTTCGCTGTGTTTCTAGAGCTTCATTGCTAGTAATATATGATCTTTTATTGCAGGACCAGAGGAACGACACATGCGACTCATGCAGAGAGACGAGGCTTTCACCGCCAGTGTTGTTCCTCTTATGCCTGATGACAACATTCAATAGGACCTTTTAACATTAGTTTACTGCGAATGGTGCTTATGTCATTAAAGTGCAATAATTAATTAGGTTTACTGTATGTAATGTGTCTTTGAACAGTACCTATTATATTCTGCATTGTAATCAAATTAAATATTGTGAATTAAAATGCAAATAATGTGGATGTAAAAAAGAAAAATAAAACAGACAAAACTAATAATTAAATAAGAAACCAGATCTTTTATGGTAAGACTTGTTAACATTCGGTGTGTTTAATTTTTGCCTTTGGTGTATCTGAATAATTGTACTCAAGACTATACAACAATCTAATATTTAAGCAGTTTATACAATTGCGCATTAATAAAACAACAAAACAACATTCAAATAAACACAAACTTGCAACATTCAGCATCAACAATCCAAATGTACATAAAAATCTCCATAAAGCCCAATGCTGTTGGAAAAGCAAACGAATTATACATTCTTAAACTTCCCTAAATTTCTTCAAATAATAATTTAAAATTAATTAATAATAATAAATATTAATATATTATAATAAATATTTAATATTAATAATAAATATATTAGTGTGTTTATAGATTTTTTGTGTTAAAATTGTTTCAGTATTCAATAATGAAATTATAAAGCTCCAGAAACAGGTTTTTGAACCACGTGCACACTTGGCCTAATGGATTTATGTTTATCATGTTCTGAGTGCAAGCGATTTCATTAAAACAGTGACATATATTTCTATCTATTTATACATGGGAAGCTACTGTACATGGTGCTCAGATTAAAGGTGTTAAAGAAAAAATTAAAGGCATCAAGTGACAATGCAAAACCATGTATTTCAGAGATCTCGCATACAGCAATTTTTGCCATTTGAAAACTAAGGAAAATGTGAGGCATGATTAATAGGCCAGAAAAACTAAATCAAAACATGTTTATTTGAAACTTTGTAGATTATGTTTGGGTTACTAATGAAATCTAAAGACTTGAACATTTTTAAATAAACCAGTTCCTGTCCAAACCAAATCCTCACGTTTTACCCAGTTTTCTGCATAATATTAGCATGCGTGAAAGTGAATATGAAACTATGAGCCCCTACGAGTGCTGCAGGGATGATTTTTGTAGACCAACATGAATGGTACTTTAGCATTCATTCTGTTTTTTTTTTTTTTTTTTTTTTGGCTTTTAGAGTTTTTCAGAAAGCAAGCCCTATCGCTACAACAACTTTATAATATTATAATATAAGTCTTCTCAAATTAACACAACTTTGATGATTTCTGAAACATAAATTTAGCAGGCGGAGGTAAAAAGATGAGCATAGGCTGTAAACATTCCTTTGACTTCAACATCAACAGCAATTTGGCCCTTACATTCTTACAGCAATGCTTTTTTTTCAGTCTTTTTAGGCTTTAGAAGAATATGTAAATATGTGCTGCACATTTTCCTCTCAATAAATACAAAACATACAAATAAAATTATATCAGTGAGAAAACAGCAGTTAAGAATGATCATAGCCATTTGGAAGTTTAAAGATTTATCTATTGCACTTTATACCTTAGAGGTGTATACACATTTAATTTGATCCGATATGTACAGTATGAAATATTGGAGTTTTAAAAAGTTTTGTTGGTTTTCGCCAGTGTTGGTTTGTTCTCATCTGTTCTCTGATTGTACAGAAACCAAAACAAAAACAACTAAAAACAAACGTTTTGGCCTGATTTTGTTCTAAATGACTTTACACAGATTTCTGCCTTTCTGTAGCTTAATCCATAGATCATGGTGTGAGGGTTATTGGCTCAATTCCCAGGGAAAGTGAGCAACCAATGAAAAAAACTTTCACCTTCAGACCAAATGTAAGTGACACTGGATAAAAGTGTGTAAAGTTTGTAACTTCGTTCCTTACTTTAACTTTAGGTTATTAGTGTGTTAAAGATTCTGGTAAGTATTTCAGTATTTTTCTATTGAAAGTCTCAGTTTAAACTGCACAAAAGTACAATAACAAAGTGGACTAGTACAGTACCTCTTAGCATTTTGATGTTTGATGTCCTCCACAGCCCCTGTAGGCACTTGTTAAAAGCCGCCTTGCTAAAGTACAAGCTTAAAAAAAAATCAAAAGCATGGAGTGAACATAAATCTCACAGGTGTCAAACTCAGTTGCTGGAGAGCCATAGTGTAGCTCTACACCAGGGGTCACCAATCTCGGTCCTGGAGGGCCGGTGTCCCTGCAGGGTTTAGCTCCAACTTGCCTCAACACATCTGCCTGAATGTTTTAAGTATACCTAGTAAGACCTTGATTAGCTTGTTCAGGTGTGTTTGATTAGGGTTGGAGCTAAAATCTGCAGGACACCGGACCTCCAGGAACAAGTTTGGTGACCACTGCTCTACACTGTGTACTTCCAACTCTACTTAAACACACCTAATCAAACTAATTGAGTGCTTTAGGCTGGTTTGACATCTCAAATAGTGGCGAGGCTTTATGAAACACTGAAACAGTTAAAGCAAATGTGTCGAAGCTTCAAAACATTTCGAAACCCGTCTCTGCAGGGAAACCTAGTGGCCATGTTTATGTATTGCTCTGAAACAGCTTCAGCAAAGAAACAGTTTAGCAAATTGAGGTATTAAACCTTACATTGTAGAGTTAAGGTTTCAAAAGGGTTAGTGAAGCGGTGAGAGTTCCTCACTAACATGCAGAGATAATGGGTTGGAATCCAGGGGGATGAACACTTTGTGAATAAATGTGTCTTGTTTCATAAAAAGTAACATAAATAAAATTCATTAAGTCATAATTTCAGTCTGGATTCAAACTCATGACATTTGAAGTACAGTTACTCTTTGCACATGCACAGTCCACTAGGCTACATGAGATGCTTCTGAAATGACTGATGATTTTAATCGCTTTAGTCACATGACCTGGTGTTTTAAATCACCTTTGTCGCATGACCTGGGAGTTTTGATCATGCCTCTCGGGATCCTGACACGGAGTCAAAATGTCAGTTTCACATCAGCCATCTCTAACATTAGGTAGTTGTGTTGAAGCAGGGCTGTAACTAAACTCTGAAGGGTTGCGGGCCTCCAGGAGCTGAGTTTGACACCCTTATATTGAGCTTGTGTTAATTACACACCTTATTTCAGTCTTCTGGTTTTGGTAAAAAAAAAAAGCATAATCCATGTAGCCCTCTATTTTACAGCATGTTGACGTAGGGTACAGTTTGTGCAGTGGTTCACCTTTTCCACTATCAACAATGTGTGAGGTAAAGTTTCCGTCACATATCTTTTTTAAAAATCAACACAAACTTTGAAACTGGTGAAGTGACGCGTTTAATGTTGCACTTCTCAGTTCATACGTGAGGTGTTTGTTCATAGAGCTGCAGATCAAGCCTCACTTTAACCTCTCCAGTCGGGACTTCATGAAGCAGCAGACGTCGAACCAGTGGCCCTTTACCATCTTGATCTTTTTTTATTGTCGCTACAGGAACTTCAGTTCGACCTAGAAAATCTGTTTGGAAAGCACATTTGGTTAAACATAGGCATTTTGTGTATTTATGTTTGATTTGTGTGTTTGTTGGGTCAAGTCCCACCATCAGGAGAGAACTGGTCCCTCTCAAAGACAGTGAGGCACAGGACATCCTGGTACAAGTCTTTGATGAAGAACTGGCAGTTGAAGCTCCATTTTGGGTTGAGCGTGTCGGGCTGATGCCGGGACGTGTAGCACTGGGCGCCCATGGTTAGTTCACAGTATGGGTTACTCTTCCCTAAAAACACATAATTTATCACACAGTGGAAAAAAAAAAAAAAAAAAAAAAAAAAAATATATATATATATATATATATATATACTTACACACTACTCTGTATTTGTGTGTTGTTATCTGCTATTAATTCTTAAACATCCTTAAAGTTAGCATTATTTACTAGAGGATCAAAACTGTGGTGTTCCTTTGTACTGATGCTAATAAAATTAAGGTCATGGGTTTATTTCCCAAGAAACAAATCACATTTACATCTTAAATGCAATTAAGTCACTTTGGATACATCTATATAAAAAGCATAATAGTATAGTACAAGAATTGTTAAATACTAGAAGTATTTTCTTAGTAACGTCTTAAAATTTATTCCAAAATAATGAAACTCATTTTAATAAGGCTTACTTTCAAAGAAATTAGGAGAGGGTTGCTTGTAATCAAATTTTTAACTTTATGTAGAACTTATAAAAAAAGTATAAATAATGAAGAATAAATTTGCTTAAAATCATTAAAGAAAAATATTTTTAGAAATGAAAAAAGATAACATTCAAAATTCTTTTTAATTAAAATGTGTATTTTATTAATTACATATTGTTCATGTAAATAATAGAATTGCAATATTACTGTATTAATATTGACAAGTGAATTTAGTGAGAAAAGTTGTTAATGAATAAAAATATTGAGTTCAATATAAATGTCCTTCAACTCAAACAAACCAAAATTCCCAAACTAATTAAAATAAATAATTAAAACTAAAATAATTATATAATAAAACAAAATAATTACAATAACAGTTATATAATAGTTAGTTATAAACTCATGAAAGACTGTATGTTCTACAAACATGCCACTAGAGGCTAGGATGATAGGAAACAACTAGGCCTGTCACAATATTTATTTTTTGTTGTAAAATACCAAAATATATTGCGACAAACAATATTGTTGCCATTTTAAGACCATTTTACGCCACTCATTATATAATGCCAGAATGACAATATAATATCATAAAAATGCAAGTACACTCTTCCAAAGAACACATAATATTTTATTCTTAGGAATATTTCATTTAATTCTAGTCATTTTAACAATATAATAAGTAACCATTGGAATCAGAATGTGAAAATGAATATCCTAAACAAATAAATAATAATAAATGTTAACAAAAAAGTCCAAGGTAAAAAAGTAACCGAGGCTGCGATATCTGCCACCAAATGTATTTTCTGTTGTCAGACACCTACATGGAAATATATTATAGCAATGTATAGTAAATACTATAGTGTTTTTTAACCATACTGACACTGACAAAACAATAGAGATTGGGCAATCAGCTAAAATGTTGCTAGAACTGGTTTTTATATAAGTCTATATATTGATTACTGTGACAGGTCTAGAAATAACACTATGCTGTGCTGAGAAATTCATAAAAATATCATGAAAACTACACAAACTGAAACTTCGAAAGTAGTCCTATATTACTTTGAAGATTTAAAAGCTAATAAAGTGTAAAAATGAGTATTTGTTCAGACCGTTGGGTTTGCAGGGCTTCAGCTCTGTGGCTTCCAGCACTGTTACCAGCAGTCGACCGATGCCACTGTTCTTCTGAGAGCGAGCTGAACAACACACACAGACATTTATCAGTAAAGCTTCATTCAGTCACACTGACTTTGACTCTTAATAGTCACCACTGAAGCCCAACCTTGATACGCCTTCTCTCTCTTCAGCTTCTCCGTCTCTATAAAGTGATCAGATGCTGCTTTGATCTTCTGCACCCACGTCGTCCTGATTTCATGACAGTTATCGATAACGTTAGTAACTGCATTCCCATACTACAGAACGCTCAGTGTAATAAGATTGGGTATTGTTTAGAGTCAGAATGAAAGTTTTTATAGATATTTGAACCAGAAACCAACTCTCCAAAAGAACTTTTAATAAATAAAATAAATAATAATCAGATGTATCCACTTGCTCAGGTTGTAGGTTAATGAAATAATGTTGTAAATAATGTTCTGTTTTGTGCACAGACCAGTCATTTTACAGGTATTCATATGTTTTGGACTTTAAAAGTGATGGTAAACTTTGAGTTGAATTGTTTCAATCAATGTTTAACAGAAGAAAAATGTCTCCTATATCTTGAATGATGTACATTAATAGCATATTTTCATTTTTGGGGTAACTATCCCATTTAACAGAAAGTATTGAAGTAATACTTTTGAATTTAGATTTGACAGGGACATGCAGAACAATACATTGAACACAAAAGGAAATATATTTATGCTATAGGTGCTTTAGCAATGCTGGCTATTTTATAACTTCAGATCTTAAATCAAAAAACTTGATTGCAAAAATTGTTCACCTAAAAATGAAAGTCATTTGTGTTTTTCATGCAAATCAAAAAAATCCTGCAAGTAATTTAAAAGCATGTGTTGCGTGTTCGCTTCATGTTTGGTGTGTGAACATGTACCTCTCATTGATAGTGTCAGTCTTGAGTGTGTAAACACGATCAATGTGTGAAATGTGGAAAACTGGGTCATCGCTGGACGGGTCAGAGGGCATTTTCACCAAGACCTCATTCAGAAACACTGGCTAATAACAAGAGAATAGGAGAGAGAAAGTGTGAGATGGACGTTCAGCAAATATCACTAGTAGTTTAACTCTGGGATAGGCAAACTCTGTCCTGGAGCTTTGGTGTCCTGCAGAGTTCCAATACTAATCAAACACCTAAACATGCTAATCAGTATCCTTAAGATCACTAGAAAGCTATAGGCAAGTGTGTTTGATTTAGTGAAACATTGAAACAGTTCTGTTCTGCTTCTGTGGAAGCCTAGAAACATCTCAAAACCTGTCTCTAATAATAATAATTCCTTACATTTATATAGCGCTTTTCTGGGCACTCAAAGCACTTTACACATAGAGGGGAATCTCCTCATCCACCACCAGTGTGCAGCATCAACCTGGATGATGCGACGGCAGCCATTTCGTGCCAGACTGCACACCACACACCAGCTGATTGGTGGAGAGGAGACAAAAGTGATGATGCCAATTATGATATGGCGATGGTTAGGAGGCCATGATGGACAGAGGCCAGTGGGCAAATTTGGCCAGGATGCCGGGGTGAAACCCCTACTCTTTTTTGTAGGACATCCTGGGATTTTTAATGACCACAGAGAGTCAGGACCTCAGTTTAACGTCTCATCTGAAAGATGGTGCTCAGTGAGCAGTATAGAGTCCCCGCCACTACACTGGGGCATTAGGACCCACACAGACCGCAGGTGATGATTAGTGGTCGTTTTTAGGTATTGTTCTAAAGACAACTTCAACAAAGAAACAGTTGCTAATTGATGAATTACACCGCATGTTGTATAGTCAAAATGTAAAGTGACTTAGTGGAGCAGTTAATGGCATGCAGACATTCTGGGTTCGAATCCAAGATGAAGCAACCTTGGCCATTTAAATGTGTTTTTTTGATGTAATGAATTTTATTTTAACATTGGTCTGACATCCGAATTAAATATGTGTTGATTTGGTCATTAAAAATTAAGATTAATAAAAGACATTGAATCACACTTTCTGATTGTTTGTACAAATCTTTCAAACTCTGGACACATGCAGCACAGTGGCAGTATGACTTGTGGAGCAAGTTCCACTAGGCTACGTGTGATTTCCAGCCCTGTCAAGCAAACAGAGATTCTCCAGATCTTGAAACGCTTGTGCAATCTTCAGTTGAATTGCTTTAGTTTTGGGGCAGTGTTTTGAAACACCTGCATCTGTTTGAGATCTTGATACAGTGTCGAAAGATCAGTTTTGTATCAGACATCCCCAGTTTGATTAGGGTTTGTTGGCCCTCTAGGACCGAGTTTGCCCCTGATTAAACTCAAAATAATCCTACAAATTTAATCTCATAAGCAGTGTTGTTGCCATACCGTCTTGTACATCTTGTACTGTGTGTTGGAGTTGGGATTGAAGAGTTTGTCTGGGCTGGATGAGAACTGTTTGGAGGTGTATGTGAGGAGCAGGAAGTCATTGAACAGCAGGGCCCAGAGCTCTTTGCTGCTCTTGGTCTTATGCAGTTTGCCGCTGTGCAGCAGTTTTCGAGGGCCCAGGCAGTTCGTCAGAGAGTTAAAAACAAGGTGCTGAAATGACAATATGACATGTTTATAAATAATATGCAATAAAAGCTGTTGTTTTACACTGTGAGGTCATGGTGGAGCTTTACAACAGTGTTTCACCTCAATGACTCCGTCACACAACACGTGGTTCTGGATCCACTCCAGTCGGTCGGAGTTCTCTTTCTCCCTCACAGCCTCGTTCACCTGTGAGCAAAGCTCCTCCGCCTGCTCCAGCGCCGCCTGCAGATTGGAGTGGTCAGCGTGAGCCGGAGGAGTGTTTTCCAGAATCTACACCAACACATTTCAAAGACAAAACACACAATTAGTTATTCACTTAAATTAAATTAATGCTTTATTTACAAAACAAAAATTGCCTTTCATAAAATAATACTCCTATTTGTTATACTAATACTATTACTGTATTATTAATATTATTACTAGTTACTTATTATTATTACTATTAATATTATTATATTACTAGTAGTAGAAGTAGTAATAGTAATAATGATGATGCAAATTCACCATATGACTGTTGAACTGTGTATGTTATTCTTATTCTGTATATATTATGTGAACATATTGTTCAGTAAAGTTCTCACATATTATTACTATTTCCATATACTTGAGAAGCAAAATTACATAAAAATCTGAACAAAATGTTTAATTAAAATTAAATAAGTTCATGCTCAAAACAACCAAAAATCTACACCACTGGTATAAGAAAATTGTTTTTAAAAATATTTAAATTCTACAATTTTTTTGTTGTTGTTGCATTTATGTTTATTTAATCTGTGTAACCCTGCACATAATACAGGCATAATTTTGGCAACAACCAAAATTTGGTTCAAAATTATTGATTTTTAATTTGTCATAAATAATTAGAATAAGTAAAGATTATGTTAAATAAACTTATTTAGCAAATGCCTACTGCACATTCATTAAAACTCTCTTTTAATTAGTAATGTGCATTGCTAGCAATTCATTTAAACAACTTTAAATGTGATTTTCTCATTGTTTAGATTTTTTTGAAACCTCAAATATTTTCCTATACGATGGAAAGCTTATTTATTCAAGTTTAAAAATGACATTTATGTCTGGCTTTGTGGTCGAAGGTCACACTTTTTACTCTAACTCTATTGTAAAGCAACATTCAATGTTTCAAAATATAGTAGTTTCAAAACTTTGATTTTCAATCTTTTATGAGTTGTAAGTGTGTACGTTTTTGATCAGCAGTGGGTATCGTGTGATCCTCTGCATGGGCTTCAGGAGAAAGCTGGACAGTGGCATTCCTTTACAGCGGTAATTACTGGCAATTTTCTACAGAGATGAGAAGCAGAAAAAGACAGAAGAGTCCTGTTAATGTCATATCGCCATCTTGTGGACAACTACGGAAAACAATGCAACAGTCACAAAAACAAGTGGTTGGACTTCAGGAAACTGGTCCTAACAACCTTTAAATTAAACCCAAAATTGTTATTAACCAGACCCGTACTAACACTACACATCTGTCTGGAAGCAGTAGAATGTGTGTCAGTGTGTTGACCTTGAGGAAGAGTTTGAAGTCGAGTGATTTGTCTGTTTTCTGCTGCAACAGAGCAGCTGCGTTGAGCTGGCAGCTGCAGAAGCGAATGTAAGCCTGCATGTGAGAGAGCTCAGAGGACAAGATATCACCAACCACCTGCACGGGCATTCGCTCACCTGCTGTCTTCTTACGCACACGCAGAGCTCTGTAAATATGCACACACACATACAATATCACATATCACGCCTGCTCAGACATTCGTACATTCTGTATAATGAACACATTTGCTGTTGTTTACCAACAAATTAAAATGAGCTTGAACTATGAAATGCTATATCAGTGAGTCACTTTTGGAAACCATTTAAATTAGTCAAAGAGGTTTTAAAATGTAGTAACAAATGTAAATTAATTTAACTGCCTACGTAGATACTGCTTATGTAATTATTGTTAATCTACGCAAGTTATTCGTTTATCTCTGTTAGTATTCATGTAATATGTATTACATTTTAATTGAACTCTTTTATCATTATTTTCACATAAAATACTCAAAGTTACTAAAAGTGAATGCTTAAATGCAATACAATATTTACTTCTGCATTTATTTCTCCTACTTGAGTTCATTCAGTTACTTTATGCTATCTTGAATTATTTTGCTCATATATTTTATTTATCAATATATTTACTTCATTTTCATTTGAATAAGATGCATGATTTTCCAGAAGTCTTTAACTTGTTTAACAAGTTCCCAAACTATGAGCCAGCATACAGCAGCTGCAGATTCTGAGCTAGACTCTAGGGGTCAATGTGGACTCACTTTAGGAGTTTGGTGCTGCACATGATCAATTCACGCCAGTTCACAAAGATCATGCTGATCTCAGCCTCGGTCAGCCGTCCCGACTCTGCCATTGGCTTATAAAACACCTGAATTTACACACACGCAGCAAATAAACACATTTATTTAAAGTCAAACAAAGCAGTCATGAGGTAAATATAGAAAATGAAAATGCCATGTTGTGCTGCTAAGGTTCCTCACTTAATATTTTCGAGATCTTCTACACTACGTTAAATCAATCCAAAGTACAAAAAGCATGAGGCATTTTTCTCACAGTGTCTAGAACAGTTTGAAGATCGAGTCTGAAAGTCTGCTGTGCACTAACTGTTCTGATGGATTAGTCTGTGTTGTTAAAATAGATAACTGTAATAAACCTATAACATATTTGGACTTTAGCTGCAGATACTGTAACACTTATTACTGTATACATATTATAAACAGTAAGAATGGCATTGTTTTATCAAATCAATTCTAGCCTCAGTATTTCAATTGTGTACAAAGTGGATTTGCTTTTGTAGCACAGAAAACAGCATCTTCTAAACATGTCGACAAACCAAACTAAACTCAATATGTCCTTAGAAAAATGACAGTGTTTGAGGGTAGAAGTTGTTCACAGGCAGCCAATAAGGACGATGGCTTAGCATTATGCTAATCCATTAACCTACACTTGAAGTACTGTCGTTCTACAACAGTTCAGAATCTGTATTTTTTGGAAAGTAGTGACACATTGATCTTTGAATCTTGGCAGACACTTTTCATTCAGAAACAGCTATTTTATGCACTAAATGTAAGTTAATATCCAAAAAAGCATAATGGGGCACTTTCAATTGTCTGTTGGCTCACCTCCACTGCCAGCTCCAGGTCCTCCAGGTAAGACTCTTCTGTCTGAATGAGCTCATGGATGTAGCCTTGCCTCTTCCTCTCCTCAGTGCACATAGAGTCTAAACTAAGCAGGTCAGCACACCCTACTCACACAAAGAAAAACACGCAAACACCCACACACATACAGGAACGAGCAATCATCAGCAAACCAGATCACTACAGGATCTCACAGCTGAAAACTTTATTCCAGAAAATTCTGTTTCATGTAATTGTGAATTCACCCCACAGAAAAAAATGCACCAGAGCACAGACATTTAGAGCGACGTCTCTAAGATCTTTAAGATCACAACTGTGAGCTGCATAGCTGGTCAAACATGAGGGCAACATGTGTTACTGGTCTTCAGTTCTGTTGACTAGAACAAAGAGGCAGACTAACATTCTCGTGATCTACAACATACGATTGTGCTGATGTAACGAACAGTAATGACGAAAAGGGTAATTCAAGAGTAGCCATGTCAAATGTTTATTTTTTAAAACTTTTTTTATTTTGTGGTCCATCTAAAATGTTAGCATGTTCATAAAGTGTGCGTGTATGTGTACTGGTTTTGGTGGGTTACAAGGGCAAGTTTTTGTATGATGGCATGGTTATGACTAAAGTTGTTCTCTATTATGGTGGTTTACAGGGACATGTCTGATGTCCTTATAATTCAAAATGCTTAAAATCATACTTAATGGTGTCATTTGACATTCTAAATTTTACACAGGTTTCCAGTGGGGGTTGGGTTTAGGGTACGGTTAGGGTCATATAATTAGATGCATTACAGTATAAAATATATTACACCCAGTGCTTAATTTAAGCTTCTTGCCGGATCCTGTTCCAGGAGAAGTCTGATATTCATGTTCTGAGTTCCGGTATTTATTTTAACTTGTGCATGGTTAATACCTACGTGTGTGTGTGTGTCTGTGTGTGTGTGCGTAAGAGAGAGAGAGAGAATGTGAAGGAGTGCAAGCCAAGGTTGTGTGGATTGTGTGCATACACACATAACGGTAGTCACCATGTGCATGTTAAAGCAGAAGGCACGTATAGCTATAGACCCTCAACAATATTTTCAGCCAATCGGCTTACTTATGTTTATAATTACTCTTATTGGTTGGTAATTGTTTCGCAAGCAGTGAGCAGTGAAATTAACTAATGGCATAGTGGCCAACCTAAATAATATTTGTATTTTCAAAATGGAAAAGAGGCAGTCAAGCATACTTTCATTTTTTAAAACCACAAGTAAATCTGATGAGCCTGATCTAAAGATCTTGAGAAGATGAAACTGCGCAATTGGATCAGGATAGCGTGAGACAGAAGCAAAGCGATCTCAAGACTAAGTGAGTCATTTAATTGTTTTTTTTTTTTTTCACTTTGCACATAATAGTGAAATTATTCAAACAATTTATGTTTGTAGCTACATAACTGACCTATAACGTTATATGGCACAAAATAATCAAAGACCGTTCCAGGAATTATTCATTTACAAATTAAGAACTGATTACGCCTATGGAGAATCCTTGTAAACTATCAATACCAATATGTGTGTGTGTGTGTGTGTGTGTGTGTGTGTGTGTGTGTGTGTGTATGTATGAGATACTGGTAATATTGATCTTCATTCTCCTTACCACTTTGATAATGGGCAGATCGAGTTACTGAACACACAATAGACAATTGCGAAAGGTACTAGGTTCTTTTTTATTACATCAGAAATCCAAGGAGCCATTTTGGCAGCTTAGTTCCTGCAAATATCTATTTATACTTTAAAATAGAAAAATACTTTACATAGTATGGAGAAGTATTATTTTTAAAAGATGTTTAAGGAAAATTCAGTATCTCATGAGATTTCCCTTTATTTTACCCATTTAAAAAAATGAGAGAAAAAAGCAGTGGCGTCTAAAATGTCCCAACTTAACAGAAAACAATATATATGTCTGAAAGCCAGTGGAAACAAACAGATGTGTTTGTTTTCATTTTTAGCATAGTTTAAACAGAAAAAGCTGAAGGGGAGGGGATAAATCCAAAGAAATCTAGTCAAGGCTGAGTCTTGAGGCTGCATCGTGGACCAGAGCTGTGTTCTGATTGGCCAAGAAAAGAGAGGAAGAGGAAGCATTGGCCAGAGCTATCATCCTACAATAAAGCACAAATGAGGCGAATGACAAGAAAAAAGAAAGGAGGACAGAAGATGAGGGCAGAGGGGAGAATGAATAATGAAGAAATGGATAGAGAGTACATATTAGAAAACGATAGATAGATAGATAGATAGATAGATAGATAGATAGATAGATAGATAGATAGATAGATAGATAGATAGATAGATAGATAGATAGATAGATAGATAGATAGATAGATAGATAGATAGATAGATAGATAGATAGATAGATAGATAGATAGATAGATAGATAGATAGATAGATAGATAGATAGAAGATAGACTATAGCCAAATATATCTCTCTCAACATCTCACCCACTAAATATGAGTCAAAATTGTGAGATATACAGTCAAGAATTGCAAGAAAGCCCAAGAACTCACAATAAAATCACAATTCTGAGAAAAATAGTCACATGAGTGGATGTAAATTCAAAAAACTGAGGAAAAAACTGAATTTTCAGACATAAACAGATATAAAAATGTAATATTTTTGTTTTGCACAACTATGTGTTTACTGTATGTCTCTGAATTTTAAGTTTATATCTCACAATGTCCATTTTTATCTCACTAAACTGTGAGTGAAAAATGTTTACAGTATGAGAGAAGCAGGCTTCCATGCCAACACTCTTTTATTTCAGTTTTGATTAACCTATTCCAATCCTCATAATCTGCCTACTGTACAAACAAACACTTCTGAACTCGAACTGAAACTAATAAAGCAGCTCTAATAGTACTCACATTGCTGGCTTGGATCACATTCTGTGGTCATCTTCACATAATTAGTTGGAAACAGCCCTGTGACCCCTGCGACCTCTCCTTTCCACCAGTCAGGGTTGTCCTTGTTCAGTACGGTGATCAGCTGACCTTTCTGGAAGCTCATCTCGTCCTTATTGGCTGCTTTGTAGTCATACATTGCAATAACCTGACACACTACAGGGGGAAGAGGAGAAAAACAGAGAGAAGAATGGATGGATGGAGTAGAATGGGACAGAGAAGGCAAAACAACAGTGACACCACTGCACACAAAAGCATGAATGAAAAAGTGTGCTGTGAGTGTGTTTGTGTGTCTTACATGGTTGAGGTGCAGGTGTTATTTTGCCGCTGTTGGCCTCCAGTAATCGGACATTAGAAGATTGAAACCAGCCCTTTTTACGCTTCTTACCCCGTGCCTACAAGCACAGACATTATTTTTAAAACTCTAGTGACTTATATTGTTATTATTCTTACGATAATATTTTTTACTCACTAAACATACAGTTGAAGTCAGAATTATAATCCCTCCTTAATTATTATCCCCCCGGTATATTGCTATCCACAATGTCTGTTTAACAGAACAGAATAATTTAATGGTTAATTTCTAAAAATAATAATTTTAATAACTAATTTCTAATCACTGATTTCTTTGCCATGATGACAGTAGATAATATTTCACAGGATATTTATCAAGATATTAGTATTCAGTTTAAAGAGCAATTTAAAGGTTTAACTGGGTTAATTAGTCAAGTTAGGGTAATTAGGTAAATCATTATATAAGGATGATTTGTTCTGTAGACAATGGAAAAAATATTGCTTAAGAGGGCTAAAAATATTGACCCTAAAATGTTTTTTTTTTTATTATTATTAAAAACTACTTATATTTTTATTTTTCAATTATAATTAAAACAAAAAGACTTTCTCCACAAGACAATTTTTTATAGGAAATACTTCCTTGCTCTGTTAAATCTCATTTGTGAAATATTTGAAAAAGAAAAAAGAAAAGAAAAATCACAGTAAGGCTAATAATTTTGACTTCAACTGTACCTGTTACTTAATACTCACACAAATATACTTAAGTTATAATTTAACCAGTTTAGTAAAGGCACACTATGTAATTCTCCACTAGATGGCATATATTCACAACAATTAAATGCACCAAGTATAAAACACTGTATTTAAGTGTACAACAACACTTTAATGCACAATAGACATACGGTTAGGTAAAGTGATGTGCTGACCTGTAGTTCACCAAGCCACCAGCTGTTTGAGTTCTTATGCAGCACCACGATCAGCTGGCCAGGTGTCAGACTCAGCTGCTCTGGTGTTGTTGCAGGACTGACTGTAGTCACCTGAGCAATTTCTGAAGACCAATAAAAAGCACACATTAATCATGTTTACAAATGTCAAAGAGCTCGCTGTGATCTTTATTTTGCTGTGATTGTAACAATGCTCTTAAATCTCACCTGGCTTTTTACTGGGAACTGCAGAACTGGCAGTCTAAAACAATAATAATGCAGTGAGCATTAAAGCATTACATGCCATCATAAATGTCTACTGTATTAATGCTTAACATAGCAACTTATTTCGAAACAATTTTAAACGATTAATTGCAATTAAAAAGTTAGTATTTACATATTATATGTGTACTGTGTACAATTATTATGTATATATAAACACAAACATACATAAAGCAAAAAAGTATACAAAGCAATAATTTCTCAAATATATATACTTGCAGATACAGTATATATATATATATAAAACGGCTTTTACCCCTCAGTTTCTTTTAAAATGTAAAATTAAAATTAGAGAAATATCATGCGATACAGGTTTTTCTTTAATCTTTAAAAATGTAAAATATAAAAAATAAATAAATCATATTTTACAGTCTAAAACGATCATTTGCAGGAACTAAGCTGCCAAATTGGAAAACCCAGTACCATCATTTATTAAAGTATTAAACCCGTAAATTAATTAATAAATAAGATTCAAACGATAACTAAAATTGCATAATAGTTTCAATGATTTGAATGTTCATACATCAGGTTCTTTGGGTTTAACATAGTTGGAGGGGAAAAGGCCGGTCTGGTCACCAATACAGCCTCTCCACCACTCTCCTTCTTTCTCTGTAACCAGAACCACATCCTCTGCACTGAACGTCAGGTCTCCTGACTCCGGACTCTCATACGTGTACAGAGCCACATACTCTAACAGGATTAAACAAACACAAACCAATAAAATCCAATCTAATGTCATAATATCTCATCTGCATGACTAGAAATGGTCCTATAATAATGTAAATCGAGTCCTCACCATCAAGCAAACCAGAGTCTGACACTTCAATCTCCTCCACGCTAGAATACAGAGGCCTAAAAGAGACACCAAAACACTTAAAAGATTTCCAGCAGGCATGTCAAAACTACATCATATTGACATTAAGCATGATGCAAAAAACATGTCAAGAATGCAAATCAATTTGGCGTTAAAACTTTAACATCCACTTAACATCCAATTATTGATGCCCTATTTTCATATATTTAATAAAAGAAAAGTTGTATTTATGTAAAGGATTTAATTCTGAGTTACAAATTTACACTGGATTTTATGTCCCTATAATGCAAGTAAACTACCTTGACGTCAAAACAGACATCTAACAACATCAAACAGACATCTAACAAAAAACATGTGAGAAAACGATTTCAGAACTCTTCTGTTAGCGTTTATGACGTGTTTTTGACAACATTATTAAATATTAATTTTATGTTGTTTTTACGTCATCAACATAGTCAACTGACATTAAATAGACATTCATTTTTGAGGTGTTTTTTATGTGGTTTTGAATTCAAGGCACCCACTGTGTTAGTCTCCAGCTATATTACTACAAAGATATATTTATTGCCTACAAAAAAATATATATATATTCTTACTCGCTCTGTGTATTATTGGTGGTGACCACAGAGACATGTGAACAGGGGAACCAGCCCCGTTTCTCCTTGAGTTCTCCGTACCACCAGTTCTCCTGCTTCTCCAGAACTGTAATAATGTCGTCCTTGCAGAAGCCCAGGTGACTGTCAGTCTTAGCGCTCCACTCACACAGAGCAACAGCCTGCAGCACACAAACACACACATAATCAGAAGAGGATTTTTCCTTTTAACAATCCAAAAAATCCCTGATCATGTGTATTTACACATGCAAACCTGTGAGTGCTGTGTGTTTGTGGATACTGGGGTGTGTGTCGGTGTTGGTCCTTCTATGTCCACTCGAGGAATTCTGTAAATGTTAAGGGGTCATAAGGATTTTATTTATTTGGCATTCATTTACCAACAATAATTGCAATGTTTATTTTTGTAAATAACAACAGAATTATAAAACAAACCTAAATGTAGGGCTGCACAATATAGGAAAAATTTTCTTCGATTAATATTTTGATTTAAATACAGTTTTGCAAGATAGTTTGAATAGCTCTTTTTGACAGTTTCTGAGGAGTCTAACCATATCCAGGTACAGAAATTCAATGATTTTCTTACTTTGCTTTGACTCGTTTCTTCTCGAAAAGAATATCTCAAATTCTTACATCAAGTAAAAATATTTTGTTTTCAACTTCAGAAAAAATAAATCAAAATTAAGAGTTGAAATAATCTTGTTTTTGAATTGAAATGTAGATATCTGGACTAGCAGACAAAAATTACAAGTAAGAAAAATATTTTTTTCCCATATAAATAATTAAATACAATTAATATTTTCTTACACCTTAAAACTTCATCTTTGTTTGTGCCCAAATCTTTTAAACTGTCTTGAAATGCTCAGTCACAAGCTTTAAAAACATGAAAATTATTAACTTTCACTCTATTATGGTTAAACTTAACAGTACAAATTGCATGTGTTCTGTAGCTCCTGGTCAACTTTAAATCAGACTCAACATTGCAAAGCAATGTGACTATCGTACATGTGCAAATTGGGATTTCGATGCTGAAAAGGTATATTGTGCAGCCCTACCTAAATGTGATGTCATTTTTTTCTAATATCGAAATAAATTAAAACAGTTTATTGTTCATTGGTTTCTGACACATAGCCGTTCTGGATTATTTTATAACTTTCACTGGACAAGGACCAGTCAAAGGCCATTTACTGACATATAAAACAACTAATCCCAGGTTGTTTTGTTCAATACCATGGTGAAAATGTAATGTCAATGTCCTTGCGATAACAATGTCCTTTAAAATATTTGACCACAAAGAGCTTGTAACAAGTAATCCCCTTAATCACTGAGGTATTCCCATATGGCTGGAAATATGCTTTTAAATGTTACCTGTTTCCTGCTGACATTAGCCAAAAATATGTTTTGTCAAAAATCATTTGAATATTAAATAAAGATCCTTTACCATGATAGTAAACAATTTGTAAATGTCCAACTGTAAATATATAAAACTACATTTTTGATCAATAATATCTATTGCTAAAACTTAATTTAATGACTTTAAAGACATTTTTTCAATATTTTGATTGTTTGCAAAACTTAACATTTAAGAAAATTGACAACCTCTGACTGTTTTTGTGGTCCAGGGTTGTATATGTTTTTATTTATTTTAAAAAATACCAAAAAAATGGCCAACAATTTTATGCAAATATTTTAATTTATATTTTGGATTATTATTTAAAAGTATTAGTATAAGAGAAAACCCATACCTAAACTTTTTTACTGCTTTTTAGGATAAATATTAGTGATAAGACAACAATTTTTCCTGAACACAGGCCCTGGTTTGCAGACTCTTGAAAGTTTAGAAAGTTTATCCCATAAACTACACTTATGCTATGTTTTTATAAATGTGATATTTTTAAAAAGGTTTTAGTAAAAACACATTGCTGTTTATTGTTATATTTTAAATAAATGTTTATATTATGTTTGCCAATACATTTTTCCCTTTCATTTGTTTGATGTACCATGACTTAAATATCTTTAATCTAATTTTAACATTATTTAACCTTGATATTAATATGAGTCATTTTAAATATACTGGGTTTGCAAAGCCATTGCTTTCTCTGATTACATAAAACACACCACATTTTAAATATTAAAATATTATATACATTTTCAAAGATTGGAGAAGTTTGATTTTGTCATACCCAGGGTAGTTGGCAGAGGGCGCAGTGGACTCAGTTTCAGCTGCGGTCGGTTGAGTCTGACTGTCTTTACTGCATCTCTCAGCATAGCTCTCTGGAAACCAGCCTCTGTTTCCACTGTAACTGCCATACAGCCAGCCGGTCTCTCTGACTGTCGATTCATCCACCTGCATCGATTCACCAACATCAATCACAGCTATATTATGTGTGCATGATAGAGTAACTCTAAATGAGAGCTATTATGCTCCTTTTTGCAAGAAGTCTCTGATGTCCCTATGTGTATATGTGACGTTTCAGCTCAAAATAATAATTTATAACACTTTGAAACAGCTGTTTTTTTGCTTTGATCCTAAATGTGTCATTTTGGTGACTGACGCTTTAAATTAAAATGAGATTGTGCTCCCAGCTCTCATTTCAAAAGAGGGTGGAGCTACAAATGCCTATGTGTCAGCATAGTGGCAGATTAAAAAACAAGACTAACCTCTTATGCTAATTAGAGAGAGATTATCACTAATGGGCGGGGCTTTCACACTCTGATGTTCAATGTTTCTGCACACTGTTTTTATGAAGTGTGATTCTAAAAAAATAAAACTAATGCATTTTTACTAATAGAAGCTAATGAGATTCTCAGACTGTTGCCACACAACTGTGTTTAAACCCCTTATAGATTTTTGCATAATAGGTCCACTTTAAAACCGCATGAGTGCCATATGCACCTGGATGAAACAGTCTGCCTCCAGCGTGAGCTCGTCTGAGTTGCGTGCAGTGAAGGGATAGAGAGCTCTGTAGGTGGTCAGAGAACTACACGTGACTTCAGGGATCACTACTGGCTGCAAAACTGAAAAAACACACATAAAAAACAACAAAAACATGTAATGACAATCACACAGCCAATCAGCAAAGTAACTGCATGTGTTAGGAATGGAAGATAACTTTTTTACTTGATATAATACCAAAAGTGTAAATGTGTGTGTTTATTTGTTAGTTTTTTCCTAAATAATGCCCAATTTTAGACCCTTTTTGTCACTTATGTAACAACTCTACTCAAGGTAGTTATATACATATGTTCTGGGAATGTCCCCAAATTGCATTATTCTGGACCAAGATACAATCAGAACTAATGGAAACTCAGATCCAATGTGACCCATTGCTTTTTCTCATGCTGGACAATTCATCACTCTCCTTATACATCAACCAAAGAAAGATTCTGTCAGTTGTTCTGACTGCTGCTGCTGCAAAAAAAAATTATAAAATCTTGAAACTATGGCTGAATCCATCTGATCTATTCTGGAAGACATTATTAGTTTAGAATATACCACAGCCAAAATAAATGGTGCCAAAAAACACTGCAATTTTGGTTAAATATATGAGAGAGACTGTATCAGATATGTTTCAATCCTGATTTTGTACTTATTATTACAATATTACTGTTTTTATTTTACTTTACACTTTTTGTTGGGTGGATCGCGGGCTTTGTTCAAAATCAAAATGTTCAATAAAAAAAATAATTTAAAAAAATTATTATAAACCAAATCACATCTACATGACACATACTGATTATTAAAATCCATGTGAACTGGAAGTTGCTAAGTCTTTTATTTTAGCATGTTAATGTACTTCCAACTGAAACTAAATATTGAGTAGGAAGCGGGGCTTTCTTTTTGTGCATCGTTTACTCATAGCAAACTAATGGTAAGAGGGGTGTGGCTAAAAATGTTGCTGTTGAAGCTGTTAAACTGACGTCAACAGAAGGACCAAAACAAACCTAACAAACATGGATTAACTTGAGATTAGCATGAGTTAATTGATCACCCAAACCATAACAACGTGGGCTAACAAATTAAACAGTGTAAGTTTCGATTTCACATGGACATAAAAAAAAAGCAAATCTCTTTAGATAACAATCTAATAGATATAATGCAAATAAAGAATTAGGATGTAAGTGTAGTATGACCTTTGAGTACGATAGTAAAGTAAAATAAATATACTGTACATATACAAATGAGGAAAATTAAGAAACCATATACAAATTTTAAGCTTCTCCGGATTTTTGATTTATATTATGTTTTTGGGACAGCACGGTGGCACAGTGGGTAGCGCTGTTGCCCCACAGCAAGAAGGCTGCTGGTTCAGTTGGCATTTCTTTGTGGAGTTTGCATGCTCTCCCTGTGTTTGCGTGGGTTTCCTCTGGGTGCTCTGGTTTCCCCCACAAGTCCAAAGGAATGCGCTTAAAAGTGAATTGGGTAAGCTAAATTGTCTGTAGTGTATGTGTGTATGTCTTGGTCAACCAGGTTGCGGGTTGAGCATTGAGCTAACGACCCACTACGTATAAATTAGATTACAAAACACCAACATGATGCAGCTAAATATCAACTGATATAAACGACCCTGGGAGTAAGCAAGCCGTTATGTTCTTGAGTAAAACATACTTTGTTTTATTCTATAAACCGCTAACAATATTTGTTTTAAAATTCCAATAAAACGTGTTTTTTATTAGCTTTTTTGGCAAAAAAAAACAAAAACAATTTTTCTTCATTATCATACAGGACCAAAGTTTTAACTAAAGAGAACTTAAAAAAGCAATACTTGGTACAAATAACCCTGCTTTTAACCACAAAAAAGATTAAACCCTTACCTATCTCTATTTTCTGGCAAAAATGCTAAGATTAGCCAAATTTGAAAAGAAATTTAATTCCAAATTTGAAAGAAATGTTATCAGACCTTTACAGACTAAAACAAACATTTACATTTGACTCAAAATCATGCATAATAAATCCAGAGAAACTGTTACATTTTAAGTGGTCTATTTTTTTCCTAAAGCTGTATAAACTGTATAAAATGCCACAGATGTTTGGCAGTGACTAAAAACACATTCTAGTAGAGTCTGTGATATGGGTTTGTATAATTAATAGGTGGCAATTAAAGTGAATAATGAAGCTGCGAGAGTACTGACACCCATTACAATGAACATAATGAAAACATCATATTCATGGCCAAGTGGATGAATACAAGCCATTTTGAAGCTTCAGAAAAGCACCTCATCCACTCACACTCTCTCTTTTTATACACATATATTGGGTTTTCATGGTTTATGAGAACTTTCCACAGATGTAATGATTTTTATACTGAACAGACTCTATGTTTTGTCCCCTAAACACAATAATTACAGAAAACATCAGTTTAACATTTTTAAAATACTCCATTCTGTTTTATTTGTGAGCCGTTTTCATTGTGGAGACCAAAAAATTGTCATAAATTACTAATATTACCATACTTGAGCGGACATTTGGTTCCCACAATGTAGTAAAAACAACAAACACATACAGTTGAGTCAGAGTTATTAGCCCTCCTGAATTATTAGCCCCCTGTATATATTTTTACTCCAATTTCAGTTTAATGAAGAGAAGATTTTCTAAACAATAGTTTTAATAACTTATTTATAAAAACAGGTTTCTTTTATCTTTGTCATGATGACAGTACATCATATTTTGTTAGACGCTTTTCAAAATACTGGTATTCAGCTTAAAGTGCCTAGGAAAATTAAGCAAGTTATGGTAATTAGGCAAATCAATGAATAACAATGGTTTCTACTGTAGACAATCAAAACAAATTGCTTAGTAATATTGACCTAGTAAGTACACTCAAACAAATATACACACTAATATACTCTCTCACACACACAACTTACTGTTGTTCTCTGTGCTGTTGAAAGGCAGACTGGATTGAGTGTGTACATCTAGCTCATTCCTCTCCTTCTCCTCAGCTCTCCTCTTCTCCTCTTTGGCTCTGGCCTGCTCCTGAGCCTCCAGCAGTCTGGCCAGAGCCTGCCGCTGCTGCTCTTCCCTGAGTTTGGCCTCTCGTTCCTGTGCAAGTTTCCTTTGCCGCTCAGCCTCCTCCTGCTCCAGCCGCTCCTGCTCCAACTGGGCCTGTCTGTAAACACAGGCACACGTCCACAACATGTTTCTATGAGTGTGGTGTGAGTCTGAGCATTCGTAAGGGGGTAAGATTATCTGTGTTTAACCCAGCAATACTAAGAGCTTATTTGCTGAAACACAACAGTTTACTGAATAGCAGAAAATGAATTTAAGCCATATGGTTGCTTAAATATTAGATTTTTGCTTGATAAAATACAATATTCCACACAAATATACATGAAATATTCACTTATATATTTGGTGTAATATTATTGAGGGGCTGCCTAGCACTGATGTCTCACAGCAAGAATGTGGCTAATTTGAGTCCCGGCTGGGCCAGTTAGCATTTCTTTGAGGAGACATGCTCTATATAGACGAATTTAATGAGCTAAATTGGCCGTAGTGTATGTGTGTGTGAATGCAAAAGTGTATGGATGTTTCCCAGTACTGGGCTGCAGCTGGAAGAGCATCCGCTGCATACAACATAAGCTGAAATAGTTGTCGGTTCATTCCGCTGTGGTAACCCCTGATAAATGAGGCACTAAGCCGAAGAAAAATGAATGAATGAATAAATGAATGTAATATTGTGTAGGTTTTATAGTTATTATTACTTATTATTACATAAAATATATCTAACTTGATCCGTTTTAAGCCTATAAAACGCATTAATTCAATATTATGAAATGGCTATTCTGGGAAAAACATTTATTTTATATGTATGTACACATTCATATAAATGTAATACATGTATTATTAAAATACAGTATATCTAATGTAAATGCATTTAAAAATATTTCAGAAAACTAAGTAAATAAAAAAAGTTTATATAAAAATTAATTCTAATAAATTCTGTATAAATAGTAAATAATAAAGTTTATAAATGCTAAAAAAAAAAAAGTCTAATTATAAATTATGAAAATAAGCCTTTATGATTCCAGGTTGTTCTTTAATGTGAGAAAATGTGTGTTTGTTAAAATTATACCTGGCGGCCTCCTCTTCTTTCTTCCTCTTTCTCTCCTCTTCCTCTTTCCTGTGTCTCTGGAGCTCTTTGAGTTTGTCAGATCTGACCCTCCTGAGCTGCTCCAGGACGTCCTGCTGCTGGCTCTGCTTCTGTCTCAATTCCTGCAATGTCACCCACACACACATACTCTTCAGCACTTTTAATCATGCTTATGTCAAAAATGTCAAATAATATAATGCATATAATGCTTCACATGTTACTCACTGCCCAAACTAACACAATCGAATTACCAAACACTGAACTTTTTTAAGAAGACAAAAAAAAATTAGATCAGTTCTGTTAGAGTTACTTTAGAAATATAATGCAGAAATACATTTACAAAATATTTCATTTAAAATAGTAGTAACATACACTACCGTTCAAAGGTTTCAGGACAGTAAGATTTATTTCAGGTCTTTTCTGTTTACCAAGAATCAAAAATCTAATATTTTATATTATAGGGCACTATAAAGGCTAAAGAACATAATTCTTATTTGCTTAATGTTTGTAGCCTAGGGCGATATACTTCCCACCATGCATTGTATCTTTTTTTAAAATATGGTGTACACGCTTTTATTACTAAGAAAACTAAACCAAAAAATCAAAATTATACTTTAACTAAGCACATCACATCACATAAGGTACACATAGAGTACCATCCTTTCTATTGTTGTGAAAAGGCAAAGCTGAAAATCTATGGTTTAAGCGCTACCCAGCAGTCAAAAGCTGCTGGCGCACCTACAACCACGGCGGCAGAGGGAACATATTGTGTTGACATCTGTATACTGTATGTTATAGATTTATATATAGCAACTCTCATAATAATAATGAGACAAAAATCAGTATGTGAGTCACTATGAAAATATGAGATGCTTAAATACAATTTTAATGTCTAATAATTAGAAAGCAGTTAACCTTTCTAAAATATGTGCTTTGTTTAATATTCTGCATTCATTTTGATATCCTTTGCATGTGCTCTTTCGTTGTTGTTGTTGTTTTTTCTCTTTCTTTCTTTCTTTCTTTCTTTCTTTCTTTCTTTCTTTCTTTCTTTCTTTCTTTCTCTTTCTTTCTTTCTTTCTTTACCCTTGTTTTTCTACTTCAAATTTAATTTCCCTAATGGTAAAAAAAAGATCTGTTTTACATACATGGTAATTGCTTTGATGTTAAGGCAATACACAAAAAAAGATAATAAAATAAACTATCAAAATGTGAGATACTAAAATCACTTTTGAATGTAGATCCACTTTTACTCTTAAACTTGTGATTATGATCAGTCTTCTACTCTGTTTAGGAATCAGCAGAACTGATCGCACAATATACAAGACAATACATTTGTCACTGGAACTCAGGAACTGTTGGACAATGCCAAGGTGGGCAGATGATGTCATTGTTTGAGGTATGTCTAGTTGACTAAAACGCTCAACAAAAAGATAATTTCTTAGTGTATTATTCAAGAACTTAATGAATATATTATATTGTATAAATCATAAACCAAGAGAAACTGTTAAAGGTATAATAGTTCAGCCAAAAATAGAAATTCTGTCATCAAATGATGTCACCCTTTACATTGTTTCTTTCTTCTGCTAAACACAAAAGAGGATATTTTGTGGAAAGCTTAAAACCTGTAACCACTGACTTCCATACTGTTTGTGTTTCCTACTATAGAAGTCAATGATTACAGGTTTTCAGCTTTTATCAAAATATCTTCTTTTGTGTTCAACAGAGTAAAGAAACTCTAACAGGTTTGGAATTGCTTGAGGTGAGTAAATAGCGAGTTCATTTTCATTTTTGGATAAACTATCCCTTTACATTAAATGTTTGTCAGGTTGATAGTAATATCTTAAAAACAAACATCCTATTACTGTAAATTGTTAGTTTTCAGGCAGTAAGTAGAAACGTTATGATTTACGACACAATTATGAAATGACACAGATGGAAGCAATGTTACAAGGTCAGACACTGAATGAATTCAATATAATATCTGTAAAGTGGGACTCTTTCATGGAGATGAGCGAGACAAAAAAGGGGAAATGAATGAAGAGCAGGCAGCTTTGGGATGAGTGTGAGTGAAGATTAAGAGAGGTCAACCTTTATTAGAAGGAAGAGATTGGTTAAGCAGCCCAGCAAAGAGAGAAGTCCTTGTAGCACACAGTCATCCATTTCAACAAACTATAAAAACCGCCGGGATTGAGAGCGGGAGAAGAAAAAGGAGACAGATACAGTCAGGGGGAAGAAAATGATAAAAGTGGGTACAGAGAAAGAAAGGCTCGGAGCAGAAAACATTCATTGTGTCCTGAACAATAGCCGAGTGTTACATGTATAATGCTCAGGTTTCCAATCCGACCAGCCGGTTGTTAGTGATAGTGTTTGTGTTTTGTGAGTTTTCAGTGAATGTTAGTGTGTAATGAAGTGTTCAATCCTCTGCCTTCAGGGCTGGGAGTTGAGCTGTAGGTTTTAATCACAGGAACATGGAGAACAGTGAACTAGTGAGTCTCTCGCAGGGACACCAAGGTTTAAAATAAATTCGAAGACAGAGCAAGTCACCACCCAGAGCCCACATTAGCTTTTTAAGGTCAGACACTGCAGGGAAAAACACTGTTTATTGCACCTGTCAGTTTTGAGGTGTTGTGCTATCAGCTTTACTTAAAGTGTTTTGTAATGCAATGAAAATATACAAAATACATTTTTAAGTGTTTTTAAGTGTTTCTATTCTTCTCTTTCAGTTTTTCTTTTCTTTTCAGTTGTGTCTGTAGATTTCAATTACAGCACATATTGTTAAATGCCATTTTATTTGCTACTTATATACTTATATATAAGTCAGAATTATTAGCCTCATTTGAATTTGTTTTCTTTTTAAAATATTTCTCAAATGATGTTTAACAGAGCAAGGCAAATTTCACAGTATGTCTGATCATTTTTTTTCTTCTGGAGAAAGTCTAATTTGTTTTATTTCGGCTAGAATAAAAGCAGTTTTAAAAATAAAACATTTTAAGGTCAAAATTATTAAACCTTTTAAGCTTCGACAGTCTACAGAACAAACCATGGTTATACAATAACTTGCCTAATTACCCTAGCCTGCCTAGTTGTCACTTTAAGCTGTATAGAAGTGTACACAGCACACACAAACACACACAGTCTTATCCTCAATGTAAAAAATGCTGGGTTCCACACAATTCCTTCATGTTGTCCCAACACATTTAAGTTAACTGCTTTTACAAGTTTAAGTGGATTAAACATATAAAATTAAGTTGTCTTCCTAAAAAAATAAGAAATGTATTGCTTCAACTTTAAATAAGTAGTTTGCACAAGCAGCAAAAGTAATTTTGCTGAGTGTATATTCTAAAGGATTTTGCAGATGGAACTGTTTATACATAATTTATCTGATTGCTTACAACATTTTATTATACAAATCTATTTTCTGGCTGTTCAAGGTATTTTCTGAATTGAGATAAATAAAAAAATACATTTGAACCAAAAAAAATTTACTTTTTACCTCTTATGTGCAAAAAATATAGAATATTTTTAAACTAAAAATCTTTTATTTTCTGTATTATTTAACATTAAATAATAAAAAAAGTGCATGTTCTGGTCAAATCTGGTATATCGCATGATTTGAACTATAAAGCACAAAATAGTAGAAAATGTCAACTATTTTATTGTCATCTCCAGTTAAAAAAATTATGAAAAAATGCACAAAAGCACGCATGCACATCAATCTGAATGGGTGCTCAGCCAAACAGCAAAAAGTGCAAAAATACATTCAAAAAGGCAGGAACACCAAAGCTCCAAAAATCACCAATTTATTAAATAATAAATTGCTAACACAAAGCATGTATTGTTTCGAGCACTCCTCATTACACCTTTTTAAATTAATAAATTAGTATTTTTTTTGGAGCTTTGGTGTTCCCGCCTTTTTGAATATATCTTTGGTTTAAAAGGTTAACAATAAGTTTGTCAACAATTTGTTACAACAAATCTCATCTATAATCACATTTAAGCATTTGCATTATCTTACATTAATAATGGATTCAGTTCACTGTATTATACATGTATATATGTGTTGTATGTCAATTCAGTTTAAAAGAAATGAATGGAAAATACTTGAAAAGTATTGTACATGCAATTCTGAGTTGGCTCATATATACTGTATATAGACAAACTTCCCAACTGTGATGAAAGAAGTAATACCTCATTTGCATATTCAAACAGTATTTTTAAAAACCTGCATTTTTTATATAATTAATCAACTTGGGTAATATAATTCCTGATGCACTCTACTATGAGTTCATCTTATTTACCCTTTTCACCCGCAGTGTCTTGTCTTTAATCAAAACGCATCACTTTAAAAGAGGTTGAGGTTTACACTGGGAATGCAGGAAAAGCCGCTGACCTTGATTTCTTTGTTGTACTGCTCCATTTGTGAGAGTTTGGCCGTGGTTTCTCTCTCCAAAACATCCAGCTGCTCCTTAAGCTTCCGACAGCTCCGATCTTTCTCGCACACACTCTGTTTCACATCGTTTATCAAAGGACCTAAAAGAGCGAAAGAAAAAAACATCAATGTTTCAGAGCCCTAGGTTCAAGAGGGATGAAATGGACACAAATGAAATTAGTCACTGGCGCATTTATCTATTCATTGATTGCTTTAGGTCTGTGTGAGTGCTTACTGGAGATGTTTTGGGTAAAATGTACAAGTCTGTCAGCCAGTCGCTGCTTTTCAGGGCCCAGCTGATTCAACTGCCGCTGCATCTCCTGGAATAACACATTCATGTACAGTACACTGCTGTTTAAAAGGCTGAGGTTGGTGAGATTTGTATTTCTTAAAAAGGTTTCTTTTGCTCACTGAATACAGTAAAAACCAGTAAAACTGTGAAAAATCATAGTTTAAAATCACTGTTTTCTATGTGAATAAAGTTCTATACAAAATTATTCAATTATTTGCCCTCCTACAATGTTTTTCTTTTTCAAATATTTCCTGAGTTTAACTGAGGGAAGATTTTCCCAAATAGTTTTTAAACAATCATTTTAAAATCTAATTTCTATTAACTAATTTTCTTTGTTTTTGCCATGATGACAGAACTTAATATTTTACTAGTTGTTTTGCAAGATCCTAGTATTCAGCTTAAGGTGCAATTTAAAGGCTTAACTCGGGTTAATTAGCTTACTTAGGCAAGTTAAGTTAATTTGGCAAGACACTGGACAACAGTGGTTTGTTCTTTCAGCCAAAAATCAGGGAAAAAGTATTTCTTAGAAAGGCTAATAATACTGACCTTAGCATTTTTTTCATTTATTTAAATAATGTTTTTTTTTACTTCAGCCAGATTAAAATGATACGACTTTCTGCAAAAGAAAAATATAATAGGAAGTCCTGTTAAAATAATCCTTGTACTGTTAAACAATATCTGGGAACTAACTGAAAAAGAATGAAAATTTGTCTTCTGCTGTATGTTTTCAAATATAATTCATTATTGTGATGAAAAGCTGAATATTTAGCATCATTATTTCAGTCTTCAGTGTCACATGATACTATTCTAATAAGGTAATTTGGTGATTAAGAAACACTTCAGATTTGATATAGAGGAAGTTTAAAAGAACAGTGTTTATCTGAAATATATTATAACATTTATTCATTTAATGTACTCTTTTTAAAAAAATATTCAGTCAACATACATTTGGTGTATATGTAAAAATATTTTTTATTATTTTTCTTTTTTAGATTTTAGCCAAGCTTCTTATATAACTATTTTAGTATTTTTAATAAATATTAAGTTTAATTAAACTTTTTTAAATTGGTAAAATCATGTTTATACTGCTTTTGCTCAATATTTCATTAAAACTAATATAAATGTCCATGAAAAATGTGCTTTCTGATCTTAAACTTTTTAACAGAAGAAACAGGGACTAAAATAAATACTTTTCAAGCAATAAGTGCCTTGGACATCTATGTCAGAGTCATAAAGGTTTTCTCAGTGTATTATGGGCCTTCCTGTTATGCATATACAGTCTGACCTAATGATAATAATGAATGCAATGTAACTGGTGCAACAAAAACACAGCATACATCAAACTGTAACTGCAGTGAGTTGATATCAGTAATGCAGACGTCTCTCCTCTGGTTGATCAGCTCCAACTCGGCCCACTGCCCCTGTCTCTTACTCTTAGCATCACGCAGCTGACTGGAGATCTGCTTATGCTTGTTACCCTAGCAGAAAAAAAGACAGAGATGTATTTAATGCAATTGTTCACTACTCAAAAATTCTCTCATCATTTACTCATCTTGTACACATTCTTTGAAGAATGCAGGAAACCATTAGAAATTGACTTCTGTACTATATTTTTACCTACTATATAGACATTGATGGCTGCTGGTTTCCAACAATCTTCAAAATATCTTCTTTTGTGTTCAACAGAAAAAAGAAACTCAAAAAGGCTTAAAACAGTACACAGATGTCAATTTTAGTAGTCATCATTGAATCAATCAGTTCCATAGAGTAAAAAAACTGAATGATCAACAGGTAAGGGTTGCACAAGCTGTTTGTAAAGTTCTTCATTTAACTGGAAGGTAAAGTCCACACTTAGTAAATACTAGCTGGTTGATGACAAAACATTTACTTTGGTTGCACCACATCTTCTAAAGGAAGAACATAGTCAGGTCATAGGCTCTCCATAAGATAATGCATCGTGGTACCCAATCACCAATCTGATGTCTTTAAATTGTTAACTCTCAAGCATATTACAAGACATGCCAATCCTGCCCACCCCCAAGCTCCTCTGTTGTTATTCTTGATATTTTAATACAATCATATATCCCCAGATTTCATCAAAGTCTTTGTTTTGGTGATTTTGGTGTTTGTTTTGGATGTCTGAGCTTACTGGAAATTGTTTTCTTTACTTTATACAGTTTGCTTACATTTTTTATAAAGTATAAAATATGTATATTTTACATAAAAATATGGTACATTTTAAAATATATAAATAAATACAAAACATCAAAAATCTAAAAAAAAAAAAAAGTTTTAAAGTTTTTAAAAAATATAAATATACATAAATTAATTGATAGTGACAGAGATTTGTTTTGGGCTTTTTTTTTAAAATTGGGATCAAACCTGAGACCTTCCTGTCTAAATATGTGCTAAAAGGAAACACTAAAGGTCCCGTGAAGTGCTTTGAAATGTGTATATTTATTTGATGTTTGACGTAAACTAAACTGAACCATGAATAAGGGGTGGGACATAGTGTAACTCCTCCCCTTTAAAAACAGCCAACAGCATTTGTTACTTTTATCCCAGCTCTGCAAGTAAGAGTGGTTGACCTCAAGCACTTAAAATAAAAAACAAATGATAAGTGTCTTGAAATGTCAGACACTAGAAAGCATTTGTTTGGTCAAGATTTGATGAAAAACTGAAGTATGAGGTCACTTGAAAAAAAACGTTAATCCATTGAGGTGGAAGTAACAAACAACAAGCTTTAGATGTTAAACTTGAATTTTGTCACTGTTCTGTAGCACATTAGCTTATAGATATCTATAAAACATATTCAGTATACTGATACTAACATCTAAAAAAGCATTATTTGAATTTCATAGGACCTTAAGGGCTGCATGTAGGACGGGAAAACTGTCTAAAATCAAAAGGAAGAGAATGAAAACTTCAGTCATGAAGAAATTCTTATTTTAATTGATGAATATAAACAAAACAAAACCCTACTTGACAGAAAATTAAACCCTTCTGTATCATATTGAAAAGAAATTTGAGATTTGGCAGGAAACAAAAATCTAATTTAAAGCAAAAGGCTATGAGGGAGATGAAGGGAGTGAGAACCTGTGGCTTGTCATTATCAGTCACAAGCTCATCAGTGTAATCTAATCTTGCTGTCATCTCTTTTCTAACATCATTCATGGCCAAAAGCTTATTTACATATTTAAACTATAAATGACCTAGTAGTGCATGAGCTGTAATTAAGCTACATTTTAACTTTGGCACTGCTTGTGCTACGGGCCACATATTTATGGTATTAAAAACAAATCCAAATCTGACCACGGCCTCCAGCTCAATCTCAAGACTCCTCTTCCTGTCCTTTAGTCTCTGTATGTCATTCTGCTCCTTTTCTTTCTGAGTCTGAAGCTCCACACGTTTGCTCTTCTCCCATTCCCTCCGTCTTTGTCGCTCAGCTTCCTGGGAAAAAGAGAAGGAGAGGTTCATCAACAGATGTTCATGTAATCACTCATTCAGACGTGAATTTACGACATAATTACACTCTCATTATTCACATACTGTAGGGTGACAAATGGGAACGACTCTACCAATATAATATAGATTAGAGCTGATTCAGTTTATCTACTGTCAATATATTTATTGAGCATAATAAAATTGATCTACTTATTATATACTATTACACCAGTTCAAATGGACAAGTGTTAAATACATACATTACACATTTTGCTATTATATTAAAATGCGTTAAAGAAGAATAAACTTGCCATTTATGAGTACAAACAGTTACTTACAGTACATACAAGATAATTATATTTATTTGATTTTAAATATTTAATTCATGTATTATTTAATCACAATTTTCCAGAGTTGTTTCCCAGTACTGGGTTGCAGCTGTAAGGGCATCCGCTGTGTAAAACATATGCTGGATAATTGGGGGTTCATTCCGCTGTGGCGACCCCTGATTAATAAAGAGACTAAGCTGAAGGAAAATGAATGAATGAGTTAATTAATTAATTAATTAATTCCAGGGTTATAATAGTTGACATTTAGTTGGCTTGATATAAAATAAATGTTAACTGAAAAAACTGATTTATTGTATTTTAGCTAGGTTCCAGGGAAACATTTCCCACTTTCACTTAAACTGAATTAAAACTAATGTTATTAAAATAAAATCTTTAATGCAAAAAAATATAGAAATTGAATAACAAATGACTTTAAATAAAACTAAATTTTAAAAACAAAATATACATTAAACTTCTCTAATTCAAACTATAAAAAACTGAAACACATGACTAAATTTAATAAAATAACACTGCTATATTCCTAACTTAAATATTAAATAATCCTTAATATTTTAACATTATTTCATTACATTATTTACGCAAATGCATTACATTTATTCATGGGTCAAAGACGAGACATTCCATTTTGGTGTAATTATATTACATTTATTTTAGAAGAAATTATTTTACATTATATAATCTTTCAATTTTAAAAAACTTCTTGTTGTGTTTGAAGGACAGTGGTAAAGTATAACGATTTAAAATGACAAATAAGAAGCGTTTTGGTGCAACACCATGATTTAAAAAAAGTATTTTAATATGATTAAATGATTCTTGTATATATGCCTTACATGATGTTTTGGCCTAAACATTTGTGCTATACTAAATTACATTTTAGAGGGTGTCCTCTGCAAATTACAGTTTTTATTTCTTGCACTTATAAAAACAGATTAACGGGATACAGTGCGGTGGCACAGTGGGTAGCACTGTCGCCTCACAGCAAGAAGGTAGCTGGTTCAAATCCTGGGTGGGTCAGTTGGCATTTCTGTGTGGAGTTTGCATGTTCTCCCTGTGTTGGCGTGGGTTTCTTCCAGGTGCTCCAATTTCCCCCACAAGTCCAAAGACATGTGTCATAGGGGAATTGAATAAACTAAATTGGTCGTAGTGTGTGTGTGAAAGAGTGTGCATGGGTTTCCCAGTGATGGGTTGCAGCTGGAAGGGCATCCGCTGTGTAAAACATATGCTAGATAAGTTGGAATTTCATTCCGCTGTGGCAACCCCAGATTAATAAAGGGACTAAGCCGAAAAGAAAATAAATGAATAAATAAACAGGATACATTCAAATGTAGCGGACACTAAAAATGTTCATTGGATTTAGAATGTTTTTAAGGGTAAGTGGTTGTGAATAATTTATTTGGGCAGAATTTAAACAAACAAATAGAATTAAGTGAATTAAGAATCAAGTTTATTTGGCCTGTTTGGAGTTCTAACCCCTGACTGTGATTTACCATTTTATTTTTCTGAATTAATAGCTTAAATAGCTTGGCGGTGTATTTTGTTGCAGTGGAAGTTTCCTCAACCCACATCCTATACTCAATGCATTAAAGATGCATTACTTTTGTTAAATTAGAAAAAATAAATATAGTCTTCGAGGTTCAGTGATCAAATTTTATAACATTTGGTTGCCATTCCTGGAGCATGACAAATCCCTGAAACTTGAAGCAGGTAATGTTGAATAATTGGTTGCCCATCTTTAGTTTGCACTTTTAGTTTGTACCTTTCCGATGCATACTAGAGCTGATATAGCACTAGCATACAACTCTTCTTGTCATAAAACCACAAGTTTGAAGAACGTGCCACCCCCCCAGCCAATTCAATTTAATAGATTTTCTCTTTTTTTCTCTTTTAAATGTTTTATTTTTATTATTTTTTTATTATCATTATTTATTTTGCTTAATACTTCATGCTGCCAACCTCAACCTTTGGAACTGAACTGTTTATTTGCTTAATTTATAAAATGACACATCATATGTTGTTTATGTACATAATATACTGTTTTTTGCACAATATGAGGATTATAGTGTGGTTTATTTTATTGTTTTTCATCAATTTTGTACTGTTATATACATTTTTAATTATTTTTTCTATTTGTACTGCTGTTTTCTCTGTTACTTTTGTTTGTTAATTTTTATAAAATCGGATAAAAAAGTTATTTAAATTAAGTGCAGAATTAAGTGTTCAATTTAATTTGTTTGTTTTAATTCAGCCCACATAAATTATTTGCAACCACTTACATTAAAAACATTGTAAATCCAATTAATATATTTTTTAGTGTATGACATTTGTTTTTTAAATATAACATAATAAACTAATATAGGGCAACAGTGGCGCAGTGAGTAGCATAACTGTCTAACTACAAGAACGTCGTGGGTTCGAGCCCTGGCTGGGTCATTTGGCATTTCTGTGTGGAGTTTGCATGTTCTCCCTATGTTTGGGTGAGTTTCCTCATGGTGCTCCGGTTTCCCCTCACAGTCCAAAAACATGCTGTACAGGTGAAATGGCTAAATTATCCGCAGTGTATGTGTGTGCATGAGTGTGTATGGGTGCTTCCTAGTGATGGGTTGCATCTGGAAGGGCATCCGCTATGTAAAACATATGCTGGATAAGTTGGCAGTTCATTCTGCTGTGGCAAACAAAGGGACTAAGCTGAAAATGAATGAATGAATAAACTACTATATGTCAATTATTTAGTATTACAAAACTGTATTTCAAACCATGATTAATATTAGCATATTTTCTAGAACAAATGTATCGGTATAAAAGGCCTGCGTGTTTGTGTTAAAGCGTGGGGCTCTGCTGTGTTTTTCTGCTGGTGGTTCACCCTCTGTATGTCCTTGCTTGCTCTACTTGCCTCTCGCCGCTCTAATTCTTTCAGTCGTTCCTCCTCTCTCTGTCGCTCCAGCTCTCTCTGTCTCTCCATCCTGCGCTCCTCCTCTCTCTGTCTCCTGATCTCCATTTCTCGCGCTTCTCTCTCTCTCCTCTCTCGCTCCTCTCTTTCCTTCTGCTGTCTCTTCTCCTCCTCTCGCCTCTCCTCTTCTCTCCTGCGCTCCTCCTCTCTCCTCTGCTGCTCCTGAAGAGCCAGGCGACGCTTCTCCAGCTCTGCGTTTCCCCTCTGGAAATTTTCCCTCAGTTTGTCTTCATATGAAACTGAGAAAGACAGAAAACAGTATTAGTTTGCACAGAAACTGCATATTTAAAAAATGACAGTTTAATGCTTTTAACTCAAAATCAGAAGTGAATTGTTTTTTCCAGTTCTTTCAGGATTTTGTAGCTATTTATCAGATTTTTGTGGCCTAAATTAACTGAAACTGGGATGGCTTTTTTCAAAATAAGCGGCATTTCTTCCTTAAAGGAATACTCTATTTTTACCCATAAGTTAAAAAGCTGAGTTTGACCATTTTGAATCCACTTAGATGATCTCCAGATTTGCCGAGAGCACTTTTAGCTTAGCTTAGCATCAATCATATACATAATACACTGTATCTATTTATTTATATAAATTTAACCCCGGTATAAAAACCCATTATGCCTATGGACAGTCTTCATAAAGTAGATATACAAGTGTGTGTGTGCATATCCAAATACCATTGCTCTTGTTTTTCTGTGGCAGTTCTGGCTCAATCAGCTCAGTGCTAATCAGAGGAACAGGTCCGTTTAGCAGGTCACATGACTTAGTTGTTCTGAAAACAAATATAGGCACAGAATAAACACAGTCTCCTTCATATCTTGTTAATGCCAGCAGACCTGTGTGTGTGTTTACCTGAGTGAAGGAGGCACAAGGTCGGGAGGTAAAGTGAGAGGTAAAGGCCGCCCTGTCTTGGCCATTTCAACCAGATGCATCGCTAAAATAAACTCTTCTGCTCTCAACTGCCCATCACGATCCACATCAGCCAGAAACCTGTAGAAAGACATTTTATATATATATATATATACTTCTGGGATTATCCTGGAAGCATTTCAAATGTTTAATAGCTGAATCACAGTTCATAATTACACAACTGGCAGCTAAACTGCAGACGCAAGACTGTGGAAGTAGATGTTTAACACACTGCTTAAAGAAATAAGGTTGAACCCACAGTTTAATGTGTGGAAGTGATTAATTCAGAGGTCTTCAACATGTTAATTTAATTTAATTTAATTTTAGTTTATTTTGTTTTATTTTATTTAACATACAAAAACCAATAAAATTGGAAATAGATAATATGTCACATGCAAAAAAATCAAAGATATAGTTGGGCTAAATATTTAATGCTAAAATTATAGACATTTATAGACACTTTATATAGATATGTAGACATAATTGGAAAAAAAAGAAATTATTTCAGATTAAACACTAAAATGAAAAACTTAAAACATTTCAAATGAAATTGTATATACTTTATACATGTACAGTATATATTGTACACTATACATAGATGTGCAATACAAAACTAAATTGATTGATAACAATACATGCAAACATACACACACAAACATGTACATACTTCTCCATTTGCATTTATAAAAAAAAAAATGATAAAACCATGTAACAAAGTTAAATGTTAAGGGAAGAAGGAGGCAATCATGTAATTTTTTTGTAAGAACAAAGCTAAAGTAAACTGACAGACCCTTATAGATCACTGTCACACAAACAAAACAGCAGTTTAGGGCTTCCCAAAATAAGATACATTTAATTTTTAGATATTAATTTATCAAAACCATCATACATTAAAGGCATCATGTTGTGTTTTATCAATAGTGAAAGCAGTGTTGTGTGAACTCACCATATAGTGGCAAGCTGTGTTTGTGTGAGGTTTGAAGCTGTGAGGGCATTTCTGACCTGGGGACCTTCAAACATACAGACTAGCAAGTTAATGCATATGGCAAACGAGAGATGCTCACACATGATCATAAGCAAACATTGCCATCCCCTCTTCTTCCTGCGATCTACACACACATAAACTCACCTGACAGGTATCCACTCATTAGCTTGTCCAGGCTGTTAAACAGTTGTCGGTACTTCAGACGGGATGACTGAGGCACTGCCCAATCAGAACTACTCGTTTTCGGGGAGTTACTCGCAAGGGAGGTGGTGGAGGACGAGTTAGAACTGTGGACATTTAGAAATATATATTATATTAGTGTATATACACTGCCTGACAACAGTCTCGTCGCCTATCCAAGTTTTAGACACAACAAATTAGTATTGATAATTTGGTTTCAAAGTGGCTTATATGACAGGCAAAAGCCTCTATATTACATTTATTTTACTGTTTAAAATATGATCATGTCTTGATTTTAAATTATTTCAATAAGACAGTAAGACCTGACTTCGCTTAGGCAAAAGTCTTGTCACTTAACAGAAATAATGTACTGTATAAAATGTTAAATAAACAATAGTGGAAAAAGAATTAATATTGTGTTTGATTCCCATGAGCTTGAACGACTGCATCCATACATCTCTACAATGACTCAAATAACGTATTAATAAAGTCATCTGGAATGGCAAAGAAAGCATTCCTGCAGGATTCCCTGAGTTCATCAAGATTCTTTGGATTCATCTTTAATGCCTCATCCTTCATTTTACCCCAGACATGCTCAATAATGTTCATGTCTGGTGACTACGTTGGCCAATCCTGGAGCATCGTGACTATCTTTTACTTTTAGGAACTTTGGTATGGAGGCTGAAGCATGAGAAGGGAAGGAGCGCTATCCTGCTGAAGAATTTGCCCTCTCTTGTGGTTTGTAATGTAATTGGTAACACAAATTTCTTAATACCTCAGGCTGTTGATCCACTCTGCAGATCTCTCACATGCCCTTATACTGAATACAACCCCAAACCATAATTTTTCCTGCACCAAACTTGACTGTTTTCTTTAAGAATCTTGGGTCCAGTTTGGGACAAATTAATTCACTCAGCAGAAATTCGAATTTATAGGCAATGTTTGGTGTAAAACAAAATAAAATAATACGTAAAAGACTTTAAAAAATAAATAAATAAATGCAAGTTCCATTCAAATGTTTGGGGTAAATAAAAATTACCCAATGGGGAAAAATACATTTTATATTAAGATAAGAAATAATTTTACAAATAAAAGTAATAATCTTTTCTTTTGTCAGCTGGAATACATTAAACTGAAAAAATGCATGTAAAATATTTTTAAAGAGAGAGCAAAATAATAAAAGGACATGAACAGTTACTTGTATATGAATTGATTTTCCCTTTCAGATGAAAAAATTACTTGTTGTTTACATGTATACGTTGTTTATGTCACTATACACTGCAAATTAGCATGAGGCCACTGTCTGTTCAAATAAAAAAACGCATATAACAAAAAAAAGACATTATTATTATTTTTTATTATTTTGTTTTATTATTATTAACAGTCTTAATAATATTTTTTTTTATCTTCAGGACACTGTGGCCTCATGCTAATTTGTAACATTCTGCAAATCTGCTTCTAAATATATAGTACCTAATTAATTTATATATGGTAGCCTTGAATGAGCTAATGAATTCTAAATGTAGATCCTCTTCCTTCTCCAAATATGCATGTTCATTCCTATAATTCCTCAGTTTCATTTGCATACCATTCTATAAAAAAAAGAATTTAGAAATAGCATATGCATTCCAAATTCAAATGAGCATCATTTAGCAGCTGCTCATTAACAGCTAATATAATCCCCAAATGAACCAATAGCCCAGACTATCATAAAACACAGACAACTGGTCTCGGTCTAGCTGCAAGATCAGCTTTCCTCCAGTGCTGAGAGTTTCTGCTGTGACATCATACTCTAAATAATTGATATGTCCGAGCAACATTTGAGGAATTCTTATTGAAACTGTAATTACAACAACCGGGACCATTAAAACTCTAATTAAAACGTATGATTATAAGCAATTCCACAGCAGTTCTACTCATTGCTGTCGTTTATTGATTTGAAATGTTCTGAGATTATACTAACAAGATGCAGCCTTTTGCAACCTTGTATGGGTGAAATAAATGATAAAATAGGAGGTTGTGTCACAAGGAAAAGGATAATAGATGCAGCTAGGATGTACTCACATTGACTAAATGGATAGTTCACCCAAAAATGACAATTCTCTAAGTTACACATCCTCCACTTTTCCAAATTTGTTTAAATGTCTTTTTTTGTTGAATAAAAATAAAAGTGGTAGTCTTCCAAAATATTCTGAAAACTGTTGGAGGAAAAATCAGCCATTGACTGCCATCGTATATTTTATCACATCACTATGGCTGCTTTATTCCAGCATTCTTTGGAATATCTTATTTTATGTTCAACAGAAGAATGAAATTAAGTTCATAATCTTTTAAGTGTGAGTAAATGGTGAGGAAATTTTCATTTAGGGGGACCTATACCTGTTTGTAGTTCAAACTACTGATTTACATTAAGTTGAAACAACACAATTCTTGAATTTTTTTTAGAAACAACATAAAGGTTTTATGTTTAATCTACTTTAATTTTTAAAAACTAATAAGTTAACTTAATTCCTTCATGTTGTCCTAACACAAATCAATAGGATGTGCAGCATTTTTGACAGTGTTTAATATTATAATCAAAACAAACATGCAAACACAGTAAAATGGTAACTAAAATGTCAAAGACAAGAATGGAAAAATAACAAAGCCATCTTCTCTCCTTTGCTCTCCTCGTTTCCCTCCTCAGTTCTAACTGCTGATGACTTAGTCACATTCTTTATAAATAAAATAATAATCATCAGCAATTCTACACACCAACAAACTGACAAAAATATCTGCAAGCATACACACTCGCCCTCTTGTTCTTTTCACTCTCTCAGGCAGTTAAGTAGAATGTGGAGCAACTCTGCCACTACACCAGATGCATTGAAACAAAAAGTGCAAAAAAATCCTGTTTTCAATCCAAAGCACGATGGTATTATTAACAATAAATCAATCTCCTTTTGCTGGAATCCTCTTTTTCCCACTCTCTCAGGCAGAAATGTCCAAACTCATCGTTTCCAATCACACTACTACCTGTCCCTGTCAGCTTTATCCTATCCCATCTCATTCGTCAAGCTGTTTTTTTCGCTCAAATATACCTGCACTCACTCACATTGTCAACCTATCTCTTCCCACCAGCACCTTTCCTACATCATTTAAGCAGGCTCAGATAACCCCACTGCTTCAGAAACAAACTCAAGCTCAGAAAAACTACAAACCAGAATTTTTTTTCCATATAGTGTTTGTCTTTCTCACAAAGAATAACCTTATGTGCAGAAAACAGTCTGGCTTCAAAAGCACACATTTAACCGAGACTGCATTCTTCATGGTTTTTGAAGCTGCAGTACAAGGCACGCTTGAGAAATTTTTATATAATCAGTTATCGTCTTGCTGGATCTGCTTTTGACATGCATGGTCACCCACCAGATCTTCCCAGAAATTATTATGACTAATAGTATTTCAGGAACCACACACCAGTGGAACTGCTCTCTAAGACTTACATCTATTAGGTCCCTAAGAGTGTTTTGGAGTCTCAACACCTACTGGCATGTAGATGTCTCAACAGCTACTGGCATGCCTCAAGTATCAGTATTTGAACTTTTGTTCTTCATGCATACGTCACCACATTAAGTGACATGACTTTTTTTATCATGGCTATGCTGACGAAATTTCACCCAGAGAGACAGCTCACCCAAATATAAACATTGACAGTTAATTTATTCACCCTCAAGCCTGTCATGTCCTATGTTCCATGTGTGTTTGTTTTCCACCATGTTTCCCGCCGTTTCATTATGTTCATTATTTCCACCTGTGTCTTACCCCTGTGTATCATCAGTATCATCATGTTCTGTGTATTTATAGTGCTGCGTGTCATTCAGTCTTGGTTTGGTATTCTCAGTTGTGCTTTGTCATCATCCCATGTCGTTCCTGTGTTAGCGATGTCCTTTCAGTGTTTGTAAAAAAATCTACATGTTTGATAAATCCTGCAATCCTTTTGCCTTCCTGAGTGAGCCAAGGTGTTAAAAAATAATTGATGATGTAGAGTAGCTGACTTTTATTTTCTTCAGTAAAACAATAAAGAATTTTTTTTTCTGGATCTGTTGTCCTTGATTTATTATTCTGGACTGACACAGTTTCAATTTACTAGAACCTCCATGTTAAGCTGCTTTGACACAATCTACATTGTAAAAGTGCTATAGAAATGAGCATGAATTGAATTAAATTCATGTGAAGTCATCCGTTTTGGAAATTAAAAATAAACACACACAAACTACTTCATATTAATCCCTGTGGCTTCTCATGATACACTGAGGTTTTATGAAGCAATATTATTAGCTTTACAAACAGTTCTCATTGCACACACATGGGCAAGACTGTGGATGCCAAATGGTTCTTACCTGTTATAAAATGTGAACAAATGATAGATTACATTCGCGGGCATGAATGCATTCTGATAAATGATCTTGTATCTGAGTGCCTGCTCATGCATACGTCATCAAGCAACTGTAAGGTTATGTTGGATGAACACAACAGGCTGTGGATTAAAGCTATAATACTGTAAATAATGTTAAATTTTTTGCACAGTCAGATCATTTTGCTTTCACAAGACCTCAGCGGATCATCAGGGGCCACAAGGATTGATTAGGACTTGTTTATATGTCTTTATTTAGATCTTAAAAGTGTACGAGCATTGATTTCTATTTTTACAAATCTCCAAAACAAATCCGAACATGCTACACAACTCCTTACCCTGGAACTTATTCTATCCAAGTCGGATTATTGTGATGCTCAACTGACAGACCTTCCAGCCCCTCCAGCCAACACTATCAAACCTCTACAACTGATACAGAGTTCAGGAATGAATGTGGTACATTCACACAATATGTACAAATTGTTCATTAAATCAATGAACAAGAATATTGTTATAACAGCTCTTCTCATCAGCTTTCTCACTCTCATTTCCATTCAACAACTTTCACCATTACTCTGCTTCATACTACCATGATAATTAGTAATGATTACTTTAGCACATTCATGACCATGAGTCCCTTAGGTCCCTGTCATACACCCGGTGCAAGATGTGTTTACCATGATTTGTTGCTTGATTTTCAGACCAGTGCAACCTTAACTTTCATGTTTTGTGCCACGTTGTTTAAATGGCAAATCAATTTGAGCCACTTTGTACATTCATGGGTGTTTCGGACTAAAAAGGAGGTGTGTTAAGGTGCATTGTTGGCGTATTGCTATTTTAATGAACTGAAACATAGTAGACTGCACCATTGACCAAATAAAACCTGGCCGAAATTCCAGCGCAGATTGCGTTAGTTATGTGCCTATATGCAGGTCCAAATGCTAACACATTGCTTAATAGAAACAGGATGTACAACAATCAACAAATATCTTTACATATGAAAAAAATAAAGGATTAGGTTATTCATGACAATATGCATTTGTTTAATGTTATTATTATTAGCAGTATTATTTATTATATCCATATTTGTATTTGTTTTAATAAAAATAGGTTAAGATTTGTCTATCCGTCGGGTTTTGAAGACGTATGCATCAGTAAATGGGGCATCAGAATAGGATGTGTGTTTTGATATAACTCTGTATATAACAGGGGTGTCAAACTCAATTCCTGGAGGGCCGAAGCCCTGCACAGTTTAGTTCCAACACTGCTCCAACACACTTACCTGTAGGTTTCAAACAAGCCTGAAGGACTCAATTAGTTTGATCAGGTGTGTTTAATAAGGGTTGGAACAAAACTGTGCAGAGCTGCAGCCTTTTGGAACTGAGTTTGACACCTGTGGATATATAACCACAGTTCATTATTATTGTTTATTTATTCATTTGTTGGGAATTAGAACTAAATTTAGAAATAGTTTTGAAACAAATGTTTGTGCGAAACAAACAAAATAAATATGTAAGCTAATAGATGTCTTCAGTGGTGCACGTATAACACTGTTTGTCCACAAAAGTAAAGGAATAAAGAAGAGAAAAAATAAAGTAAAGACGCTGAATGGAGGAGGCTTGTTCTTTATCCTCCCGATGCAAAATGGTCTGTTTAACCATTTTCTCGCTAGTTAAGTGTTCAGTTTTTCCTCTTACAAAGTCCACCATGTAAATAGTAAATGTGCCATGGTTCGACACGACTCTTTAAGTGAATGGGAGACGAGACTCTGATTGGTTTATTTCACAGTATGCTCATAACCCATAACTCATTAAGAGAATAAGCACAACCCTGTTACACCATGTGCCGGGGCGCAGAGCGGATCTTTCCGTCCTTAAAATAGCAAAAGTTGATTCGGACATGCGCTTTTTACGCCATGCGCTTTAGACTTTGTGCCTAGATGATTAAAAATAGAGCCCATAGAATGTAACAACTACCGTGATTCCACACTCAGTCACGCTGACAATTTACATACTGTGCATTTAAATAGTTGTTAAATAGCATTTAAAAGTCTCTGTCCATCAATTTGCATCGTTTACCAATATATTTGTGCTTCAAATTCAAAGCATTAATGTTTGTCTAAAGAGAACAAAAACTGGCCCTGCAACCCTATACCTAAACTTACTACTCAGTCTTCTGTTTCCTTCAGATGCTGGCATTCTTTAAGTAAACAAAGCATTGTGTTGCCATCCTATAGAGGCACTAGTGGACCTTCACAGTGACTGTGAAACAATTAACCATTGTTGGCTATAGCATTCAAAACCAGTTTTAGGGTTTATGATCTAAAAAAAAATCAACATAATAAGAAAATCTGGTTAATTCAACCTAAAATTTTGTAGAATTAAATTCATTGACTATCATTTAGAGCAACATTTTAACACTGCATTTTAAATATTTATATTAATAATACATTTTTAATAGCATTTATAACCAGCATATATTTTCTCTAAAATATTTGGATGAACACTTTTCAGTGAATGACAATTCAAAAAGTCAATTGCTGAATAACCTTTTTAATGATTCACTGAAACGAAGGAATTTCATGGAAACTGAATCTTAGGAAAGTTAATGGCTAAATAAAAAATGCAGTAAAATCATTGCAACATAAGCAATATGTTCTGTAGATCACCCAGCCCTGGACACAAATTTGTTTTTAACAGGCACTGAGCAGGTATTAGTGAGTTTATTACAGGCTCCTGTACCACCACAAGGAGGCTGAATGACTCTCGGAGGAAGCCTAACAAGATCCTATTAAGATAGAAGGAGACAGCTGCTCTACTCAGGCACTCTGTCAGCAAACAAAATCTTATTTACTACAAACTTCTAGCACTAGCAAAACAAGCCCAGTGTAGCAGAGTGCCTAAGACTGCAGTTCTAATGTCAGAACTGAAGACGACAGTGAGTTTCACTGTCGTCTTCAGTTCTTATACTTAAACACGTGCATGCAACAGATACTTCACCTTATTCCAGTACAAACATGGACATTGAACTTAAAGTATGCATGGTTCACACCTGCTAGAGCCAAGGTCCAGGAGAGAGTGAGATTTAGTCAAACCACTGGAGACTGGGAATGCTGGAGAGATACATAAACAATGAGAATTACTTAAAGCACATGCAAATTTTGTATTTGTGTGTCACAATATATACGTCTATTGGTACATGCATACTTGTCTATCTGTGCAAAACGCTGTATATGCACAATTAGGAGTCATTTTAAATGTTAAATTTTAATAACATTGTTCCAATAAAATACATACAAGTATAGTACACTAACTTTTCCTACATGTTTTAAAAAATATCATCTGTGTAAAAACAAATGTACATCCATAATTGAGGGAGTAACCTGGTGTTGGTGTGAGGAGAGTTGCATTGCCGTTAGGTAAGGCTGGCACACTGATAGAGTTGGGCATCTGAGGCAGTGGCCCAGATATCAGGGTGGGCACAGGAACTAAAGGGGCCATGACAGGGCATGTGGGGATGGGTGTTAGGATGGGCATCACCGACATGGCGGAGAGATTTGGCATGGAGCCCATACCTGAAATAAAAACAGATTATCTGGAATCATTTCTATTAGGACTGCACAATATATTGTTTCAGCATCAATATTGTACTGTGTTCATTTGCATAAGTCACATCGCAGAATATGCAATGTTGAGTCTGGATTATAATCGATCTTTTCGCAAGTGTTTTTTTAAGCCTGTGACTGTGTGAGGATTTTAAAAGCATTCAGGCTTTAGAAACTGCAGCGTTTGTAACTTTGAATAAATAATAACTATCTGTCGAGTTCTTTTTGCAGCATTATTTTACATTTCATTATTCAATTACTATATTTATTGAAATGATCTATGCTTGTAGATTGTTTATTATGTTTTTATGCAAATACACTCCCCTACAAAATCATCCCAGTCAATCTAAAATTCTTTCCAAATAGTTTTTCAAGGCATCTAGTGTAATTGTATTCATATCGCAAATACAGTATATTTGCAGAATAACAAAATTCACAATGTTGGATTTTTCTAATATCATGCAGCCCTAATTTCAATAAAATCTATTGGTGCCATACCAATTATTAGCTGATTTATTTATTTAATAGTACCAGCTCATGAAAAAAAAATATTCATTTTCCACTGATTATTTAACAAAGGTATTCTGTGGTATTCGGATTAATAAAAAAAAACATTTACTTAATAGTAAATGTAGAAGATCTCATCCTAAATCACATTCATTTGTACATTTTTCCTATTTTGCATTTATGCTTGATTTTGGATTTTAATTAGTTTGTTTTGTTTTAGCTAATATCAACATTTTATTTCATATAGTTCAAGTATTAAATAAAGCTTATGAGGCAGTCAATTTAATAACTTTGTTACAATTAAGCCCAAACAAATATTGTACACTGACTTTTCCTAAACATGTGCACATTTCACTCTAACATTGGCACAAAAGTCAAATGGACTGCATGTATTACAGCATATGAAGCTTTTTCCTGTGCTTTTGAATATGTTTGCCTCTGTTGCCAAGCAACTTTGTGCTAACACAAACATAACTTTCTGAAAGCAAAACCATAACTTTACTTCAGGCATGTCTTTTAAAAGCAATATTTTTACGGCAGTAAAACATTGCTCTCCCACTTGCCAAACAAAGTGAGATAAGAAGCTTTACAGGTGGTCTAGTAACTTATTAAACAATTATAGTAAGTAAACAATTATAGGCTATATTACAAAAAATATTGTATTTTCAGAATAATGACTTGATAAAATATAACAACAGGCGACGCAGTAGGTAGTGCTGTCACCTCACAGCAAGAAGGTCGCTGGGTCGCTGGTTCGAGCCTCGGCTCAGTTGCCGTTTCTGTATGGTGTTTGCATGTTTTCCCTGCGTTCAGAGACATCCACAGTCCCCCACAGTCCAAAGACATCTGGTACAGGTGAACTGGGTAGGCTAAATTGTCCGTAGTGTCTGTGTGAATGAGCGTGGGTGGATATTCCTAGAGATGGGTTGTGGCTGGAAAGGCATCCGTTGCTTAAAAATGTGCTAGATAAGTTGGCGGTTCATTCCATTGTGGCAACCCCAGATTAATAAAGGGACTAAGCCGACAAGAAAATGAATGAATAAATAAAATATATAACAACATTCAAAGATTAGTTATATAATCTTTATATAAGCTTACAATACAACAAAAAATCAATTCGGTAAAGTCATATGTGAATGATCCGAATGACTACAGAATTCTGGTAGCTCTAGTGTTTAAAAAAAATTAATAAACAAAAACAACGATGATTTATTAAGAGTTTTAAAGTCATTCATTGGCATATTTCATATCAAAAATGATAATACATTCTAAATTTGGAATTATTTTACTCACAATCTAATATGAGCTTCAACAAACCAACCACAAAGCAAACAAAGCTCACAAATATCAACTCTTACCGAAGCGTGACGATGACGTCATCACAGGGGTGGGCGTCTGCTTCATGATGATCGGCAGGCTGGACGGAAGTGGCTGACCCTGCAGCTGCAGTTTAATTAGTTTCATTGCAATAGAGAACTCCAATCTGTCCATCTTCCCATCCTTTCCTATGTCCGCCAGAGCCCTGAAAGAAAGGAAGCAGCCATTCTCATCAACCGTGGCTTACAGGGCACTAATTGCTATTACAATCCCAGTGGAGAAGCCCGCTTGGTGTGTGATGACAAAGCAGAATTATAGTGAGTTCAGATCTTTGTTATGTAATCCTGCTTATTTATGAACAAGACGTTTTTTAGACATCAAACAATCTGCATCCTGCATCAGCAAATCTACGTCCTGTTTGTGGATGGGCGACAGTGTTTACACCAGTAGACTAACCGCAGACAGGAAGAGGTTGCTTTTGGGAACCTCCACCCTCCAAAGAGGTATGTGGCTACAAATGCACTTTGTCCCACAACTTACATCTCACAATGCTATTGTGATAAGTGCAGCCCTGTCATCAAAAACATGCACACAAACACAAATCCTACATATATGTGGAGTTTATAATATGCACAAGGTGGTCAGTTTTCTTTTATTTAACATGGCTTTCAAAAATGAAAACAACATATTTCACATTTTGGAAAGAAATAGGAAGGACAAGTCATTTGAAGAAAAGTGGAACTGGATTAAGTGTGTATATTAAGGGTGTGTGTGTGTGTGTGTGTGTGTGTGTGTGTGTGTGTGTGTGTGTGTGTGTGTGTGTGTGTGTGTGTGTGTGTGTGTGTGTGTGTGTGTGTGTGTGTGTGTGTGTGTGTGTGTGTGTGTGTGTGTGTGTGTGTGTGTGTGTGTGTGTGTGTGTGTGTGTGTGTACTTACCAGATGTCTGCCAGGACCGATGTGGGAAGACCAGATTGGAGGAAGAACTTTCTTGCTTGATCTCCTAGAAAGAAATTAAAAGCAAGTGATGTGCATGTATAATCACAGAATACAGACTAAATGATTTATATTTTCAAAAATGACAACAAAAAATGTGATATTCTGCAATAGAATAAATGTTTTTTTTTCTGTTTTAGTATATTTTAAAATATTCCTGTGGTGGTAAAGCTGACTTTCAGCTCTCACTATTACAGTTTTCAGTGAACGTGATCCTTCACAAATCATTCTGCTAATTTGCTTCTCAATAAATGCTTCTTATTATTATCAGTGATAAAACCAGTCGTGCTAGTTAATATTTTTGTGGAAATCGTTCTGTTTTTATTATAAAATGCAATTTCTCATTATAATTATTTTAAAAAATAACATCATACATGGCTTTAATATTAATTTTGATCATTTCAAGTGACAGTTCACCTAAAAATAAATATTTACTATTTACTTGACTTTTACTACCACTTTTATTTACTTTAAATGGTCTCAAAACTGTGTGACTTTCCTTTTTTTAGTTTGCCACAGAAGGCTGTCAAACCTTTCAACACAAAGAAAGATATTTTTGAAGAATGAAAGAAACTGGTAACCAATGACTCTAACATTTTAAAGGGAGCCTATTTTACCCCTTTTTTAAGATTTAAGATAAGTCTTTTGTCTTCAGAATTTGTCTGTAAAGTTTCAGCTCTAAACACCCATCAGATTATTTATTATAACTTTCAGAATATTGGAATTTTTCTGCTCTGAACACAATGTAGCTGTTTTTGTTGCCTGTGCCTTTAATGCTAGTTCTTCCCGTCCACCGTTCCCACATGCCTGTCAGAGTGTTTCTCAATCTCAGCTGAGCTGGATAAACAGCACAGAGACGGACAAGAAGGAAGCAGATCTTACGTAATGTTTGTGAGAAATACTCCAGTAAGTACTTTCCTAATGATTATATGATGTATGTGTTGTGGAGTTAATTCAAGCCTTTCTGCAACGATGAGTCACACACAAAGTCGTCATAAAGTTCACGCACACACACAGCAGACACACACCCACACGTTTTTGCATGGAAAATGTGACAGGATACACATTAATATCCGCTTCTGTATGGATATCTGTGATGTTAATGTAATGCTAATAAACCTGATTTAACATCCACAAACCAGGATTGAATCATCTTCTTTTATAATTGTACTGACATGCTGCTGTGCCGATAAAGAAAAGACGGTGAAATCGCTGTAATTCATTGCAAACACGCACTGTTTTAAAAAGGGTTCAAAACTCCTTCTTGATCACATTTGATGATGAATGATGATCACAGAAAGCTGAACAGATCCTTTAATCCCAGTTGCCTTGCACACGTACTCTCTTGTCCAAACGATTATACACATTACAATGGCGACATGTTAATACGCGGATGTCAATCAATTCGGTGGGCGGGGAAACCGCACTCCTACGTCACATTGCAGTGATCCTCAAAATGGGAGGGATTTGGATCCTATTTTAACGTCAGGAAATTTAATAAAGAAAAAATAAACTGATTGTCTTTATATCACCCCGATATGACTGTGGACACACTATACACAGTTCTGTCCAACTGCTTACAAAAGATGATTTTCATCATAGGTGCCCTTTCAATAAATAAATAACATCTAAATAGATATATATATATATATATCATTGACCTCAAACCTTCACACTGTATGTGCTCTTTCTTACCCGACAAATATCCCAGGGTGGGAGCCAGCGAGTCAAACTGTTTGTCATGTTTCCCCCTCTCTTCTGGAGTTATAGCCCAAATAGAAAAGCCACCTGTGTTGATGAGAGGGACAGAAAATGAAAAAGATTTTTATTTTGATTATCACGTTCTGTCTTCTCAAATCTCTTTCTGGATCAGCTGTTGTTTTTCCACTTTCAGGGTTTTGAAGTTGCTGCCAGTTCTCTGCGAGATGTTGTCTGTTGCTTTGACGAAAGCTGTTTGACTTGTATAATCCAGGCATTAGAGGTGTTTTACTGGAGGGAGGCGGCATGTTTTACACTTTTAATAGAATGACAGCCCCATTAATAACTCTTCAGTATTTATTGTCAAGCATGGTGTCTTTTAGAGGCAGCAGGCGAAGATCCATCAAAAATGTCAGTGTAAATGACACTTAACATGCTCAAAGTGGGTCAATCTCAACACAGCTTTCGCATCGAGTGCTGAAAGCGAGCCTCTATCAGCTGCTGGCATTTTTTGACACTGCTCTTAATAGGTTCAGACAGTGCTTCATTTAAAATATACAGCTTTATAGCAGATCTGACCACAGCTGCAGGAGGCTATATCAAATTGCCATAGTTTTTCGATAGCAAGATACATTTATTTATTTAGGCTATTAATTATTCATAAAACAATAATATGCCATTGCATATAATACTAAGTATGTCTCTAAAAATGCTAGTTGCAGTCTTTCTTATTTGATGAGAGAATAGGACAAATGTTATTACACACTTTTTTCTTCTCTTCTTTACTGTTTTGTTCACTCTCTCTCTCTCTCTCTCTCTCTCTCTCTCTCTCTCTCTCTCTCTCTCTCTCTCTCTCTCTCTCTCTAGGGGGGTACACATACACTACTTTCAGCTCATGTTTGCTGCATTGTCAGCAGATCTGAGATTCAGAAAAAGGCCATCATGATTAATTAAGCGCAGGTCTATTAAATCATGTGATGTCGTTCTTAACCGAAATTTAGCCCATTCAACTTAAAAAAAGTTTGACTGTTTTAGATAATCAGCCTGCACTTAAGCAAGCTTTTTAATAAAAGAAAATAACACATTAATGACTCAAAGTACTGTAGGTGCACTAAAAATGTCTTTTCTATTTAATAAAGGCTAATCTCTAAAAAAAATACATTGTCATCATATTTGAAATATATGATTCTGTGACCACATTTACAGTACGCATAAGCAGAATACAGTTGTCAGTCAAGCATGTGAGTTATTAATACAGCATGCATTCATACATGTTGTGGTTACTTACAGAAGTGACAACCACATTTTACAAATGAACACACAGCCATAAAATCAGGCTTAAACCAGAGTGCAAATTACAGGGGGTTGGGAGGGTTTCTCAACCCTAATTAATTCCATATCCCCCCTGAAGATAATTACATAAGTTAGCGTAACAGCAGGTGCAAACTTCTAACGTTTTCTGAACAACTTTTTGAAAATGTTTTATACACACTGATGCTAAAAACTAAGAACTGACACATGGCACATGATGTGATCATTGAACTACAAAGACATATGTGGATGCTTGATCTTAAACCAGTTAGCTTATAAGCAGGATATAGGACATATTTATAAGGGATGCTCAGATCCATCGGCTGAAGATTGTTATGGGCTGATAATCACATTTAATAATTCGATCGGTATTCGCCAATCTGGCTGATCTCATGAACTGATTTCAGGTGTTTGTTTAAGAGTTTACAAGCAGAGAAGGACGCACATGTGCTCCCGTATATTATGCATAGCCTATAGCAGCCACAACACTTGAGGAGGTAAATAATGCGTGGCGGCTTGAGCGATCGATATGCTCGTATCACAGCAGCTAAAATATAGAGTGATCATCTCTTTGTTGCAAGTGCAGCCATTGTATTTGAAAATACTTAAATGGCCTTGCATGTATTTAGGCTTTTTTACTTATAACATATGTAAGTTGTTATATGTAAAGCAGGCTGGATTTATTAGATAAAACTTGAAAGTATTTTTTTCATGAATAGTTAATAATATAACTTCTTGTTATACGCTTATTGCAGCAAACAGTAGTTTATAGAGCTATTTCCTTTTTAGTAAATGTTAATGGAATTATTGGTGTGTGTTATAACTGCGTATGCATCATGAGATACGTTTCTTGATTGCGGTATGTTGAATTCTTTCATTATTTGCAATGTTTCCCAATTGTACCAATTTTATATCTGTTATATCATTTCTTGTAAAGCTGCTTCTGGCCATGCACACTAAATGGCTATAAGACACAAGTTTAAGGGATTATATATAGCATACTTAATTTATTCTCTTAGGTAAGGAAAAAGCTGCACTTACAGTTGAAGTAAGAATTATTAGCCCCCTGAATTATTAGATCCCCTCTTTAATTTTCCACAATTTCTGTTTAACAGACAGATGTTTTCAACACATTTCTAAACATAATAGTTTTAATAACTCACTTCTAATAACTGATTTATTTTATCTTTGCCATGATGACAGTAAATAATAAGACACTTCTATACAGCTTAAAGGGAAATTTAAAGGCTTAATTAGGTTAATAGGGTATATGCCGAGCTAGCATTGTTCCCATGCTAATAAACATCCGGTGACCAGTTATTGTGAGTTTTTTTTTACCATTTTATATGGTTTCTTCTACAGCATCGATGTTGTAATGTAATTAAAATACATTCAGTTAAACATACTTTGGCATTCATTCAGTTGCTCAAGCGTAAAACGAGAGAATAAGCCTTTTACTCGCATGCGCCTGTTAGAATCGGCGGGCAAATACAGAAGCTCCATTAAATATACTGGGGTAAAAAAAAAGCTCATATTTTAAAGACATGGCAGGGGAAATGTAATTTATTGCAGTGCTTCTTGTACAATCTGAGATCCACTTTATATCAAATATCACTCAGCCAGTGGAGAGCGCTGATTTTTAAAGAAAACAGATCTTAAACGCGCCGATTTTGCATTGGCATTCAGTTCACTGGAAGTGGTTAACCCAGGTTACTGGCAAATTAAAAGTCCTATTACCATGCTTCGGCATATACCCTATTAGGCTTACTAGGCAGATTACGGTGATTAGGCAAGTTATTGTATAACGATGGTTTATTTTGTAGATTATCGAAAAAATATATAGCTAAAAGGGGCTAATAATTTTGACTATAAAATGGTGTTTAAAAATTTTAAAACTGCTTTTATTCTAGCCGAAATAAATTAATAAGACTTTCTCCAGAAGAAAAAATATTATCAGACATACTGTGAAAACTTCCTTGCTCTGTTGAACATAATTTGGAAAATGTTTAAAATATAAAATAAAATTTAAAAGGGGGGCTAATAATTCTGACATCAACTCTAAGTATCATAATGCATTATAAAGCTTGAAGCATCAAAATTGGTACTCAGTAATGGCTGATCACCATGACAAACAATCTGTACTCGGATTTGGCTATAAAAATCCTGATTGGAGCATCCCTAATATATATATTTGTGGAGGAGCTGATGTTGGGACTATTCTGAGGATTTTTTTAAATAACCTAATTGTATTAACAACAGTTTAGCTTTACTATTTACAGTGTATTTAAGGACAAACGGTTTCATAATCAGGTCTACTTACACTGAAAAGTAACAGAGTATGTTGGTGTGGGAATCAGAGAGTCTGGTCATTTATTTTTGTGTATTTTTGATACCTTCAGGACAAAAGGTGAAACGTCGAGGTGTATTACAAATTTAGGTCCATTCAGCTATTGAAGTGGCACTGCAGGTCTTTGTTTTCAAAAGGTACTGTAGCAAGCTTTTGTGCTTATTCAGCATAAGTGCTTATAAGATACAGTTTTGCCAATTTGTGCATACCAGATGAAAAATGTGATTTATAGAAGCTCAGAAAATTATGTTTGATTCAAACAAACAATAAAGCAAGTTATTTAAGCAAGTTGTTTAAAGCAAACAATATATATTTATTTACTGTGCTTTTCCTGCTTGATAAAACTGTGAAGATGCAACCATTTCCCTAAAGTGCTTAGAGGATTAGCTTCTAAACAAATGAATGAGTACAAGGAGAAAATAAGCATGCAGACACATACACACATACAGAGAGAGCATAGTCCTATAAATATTCTCACACTGCTGAAATTAGCATTTATTTGAGGTGATTTATCTTGTTGGCATCAAATATACACAATTTACTCAGAAGTTAATTATTAGCATTACAAATCCTCAACCTCAGCTTTCCTGTTGCCACCCTCCTGACGTTGCTTTCAACAGACCTGAAAATCTCTCTCTGGATTTTTTAAATTACAAGTTTTAGCATTCATTTTGTCCAGATTTACTTTAAAGCCACATAACAAAACAGAGCAAGATATTAAACAAACTCTACTGCCAGCTATTGGCTGCACTCTTTCTCTCTAGCTCATCATTCGGCTGCGAGATAAATATTTAATCAAACCATTAGTGGGAACTGACTTGAACCACAGCCGAATGCTGTCTCAATCAGCAAATCTGGTAGACATCTTGCTTAGATTTCACTTACAAAGCACTGATGGTAATATCAAGTCTTTAGATACCATAAAACTGATTTACACATTTTTTGATGCTTTTATTCAAAGAATCACTATGTTGACAGTGGTCTTGGCTTTTAGAGGCTATTTTTAAGACAAAACTTATCAAACACCCAAACACAATGCTTTGTGCTGGATTAAATGGGCTTGTTGTTCAGAAAGTGTGTACCTGTGATGGTATTTCAACCTCTGAAGGGTGTAAAAAAATCTGTAAATGTGTCAGAAGCTACAGTATGGTATCAAAGTACTATAGTATTACTGTACCATACCTGACTGCAACTGTACAATGATGAAACCTCAGTAGATGTAAAAATTGTTTTGAAATTGTTACAATTTAACAGAAGTAGCATCTGATCTTTTTATAACATTATTATAAACTTCACTGACAAAACAAGAAAATGATGCTTTAAAGTTGAGATTAGCACAAGTAGCTCCTAATTTATCAAATATAAGATACTGACTGAAAGAAATGGTCACAAACATAACAATGGAAAAAATAATGTATATATCTTATATATAATGTATTTATATTAAAAGATAAATACAAAGTTTCTGAAAGAGTTTTCTTTAAAATTGTTCCTAAAATGTGGTGCAGTATAAAGTCGATGATTGGTGAATAAAAAGAGATCTCATAATGTTTATTTATATACTGAGAATGAGTTTTTCTCTAGTGATTATTGTTATTGTAATTTCTAAATGTGAAGTTAAAATAAAATTTAAATATTCAAAAAAGAAATAGCTTGAAGTTAAACAGTGAACTTTTATAAGTGATTTCACAAAAGCGCTCCACATATATCAAAACTTCATAAGCAAAATCCCTCATGGAAGTTAAGCAAATATTAGCCTGTGCCTATATAAATAGGGAAGCAGTCATTAGCAGCTTTCAGCTGGGTGTGCTTTGTACAAACACTGTGCTGAATCTAAAAAATGTGAACATTCTGATAACTTTCTGTTCACTCATAAAATATTCTACAAGAATACCAGAACCTCTGAAGTTTTCATCATAGTGCAATTCTGCATATGTGCTATACTATAGGGATTCAGCACACAAGCCAAATAAGCAGTGCTTAAATTATTCTCCATTGACTCTTCCTCCTTTTTAAGAGATAGTTCACCCAAAAATAAATGCCCTCATTATTTACTGAGCCTCATGTTGTAGGCATGACTTTTTATTGCAGGACACAAAAGAAGATATTTATTCTAATCTAATGTATACAATGAACGGAGACCAGCTGTCAAGCTGCAAAAATGACAAAACGAACCATAAAAGGATCAAGGAATTAGTCTGCAGCATGGTTTCCATGTTATGCACCACTATTCTACATTATTTTTAACATGTTAATTAAAACTACTACAAAATGACAGCATTTTGTAAGTAATCCCACAGAAATGCTGTAGATTCAAGCTCTTTTTTTGGAGCTGTACAATGCAATAGGTCTTTTTACACAATGTATTTTCTACTATTGTAGTTTTAGTGTGCGCAATTTGAATAGGACAAATGCAGTTAGCATGACTATATAACAGTCACAGCTTTATAAGAGGATATTTACATCAAATCACCTTTCACTATACAAAAAAGGTCAGCATGGACATTCTGCTAAACATCTTCTTTTGTCCTCCACAAAATAAAAAACTTAATGGGTTTTAAAAGCACACACAGGTAAACGGAAATTGATTTAAATAGGATTCATGCCTATGACACACTCAAAAAAAGTGCTGCGTTCTTACCATTCATGACTGCAGGTGGGATGTGAGGGATCCTCTACTCCACTGGCTGGATAAAACTCATCTGTAGAAACAGAAAGAGAAAGTGAGGAGGATTTTTACATGCAGATGAGCAACAGAGGACACACTCAGATGGGAAGAGAACAAGGTGAAGCGAGAGAGAGAGAGAGAGAGACTGCGAACAAGTGACAAGGATTAAACAGGAAAGAAGAGAACAAGTGGAGAATAATGAGATAGCGTTTCTTAAAGGATGGACGAAATACACCTCTTTTCAGTCGCTCTTATATATTTCCTCCATTGTTTCTATCCATTTTCCTCTTACACTCAGTCTTGTTGTTTGCCATAACACACGTGTGCATGCAACAAGCCACATCCCCTGAGCACCATCACGCACTCGCACACAAACAGGATATTGATTGTGCCAGAGTGTTTTGCCTAATGCAAAAGCGATTGTTCGTCTCTGTCTTTGCTCTAAAGCTCTTTCTGGGAAAGCAGCCCTGTGTCTCGCAGCTGAATCCCGAGTCGGTGCTCCATGGGCAGATTGAACACACACAAGCCAAACACAAACTCTAAGCCCATTAAACACTCGTTGGAAATATCTCTAGAAGTTCAGTGAGTCAGCTTCCTAGTTTCTAAAAAAAAATAGATATCGAAATATTGTAGATGTATTGTGTGGTGAATTAGTGGGACAGAACATACAATTATTTTGAATAAACAAATAATGAACTAAAACATTTTAAATGATAAGAGATGCAAGCTGCAAGATTGCACAACATACCAAACAGCTTAGAATTAGTAATCAATTAATAATCAATCTTTAAAGACACAGTACATACAGTGAGTATGCATTGATATTTGCAGTATTTATTATGATTTTAAACTTTGGGGCTTAAAAGATATTATAAATATTGCATCACAGCAAAAGTCTCCAATGCTGCATTTTTTATTTATTGTTATTTTTATTTTTGTTAAATGTAATGTTAACGTTAAGGTAATGGTGATGTCAAATTAAATGTTATACTAGTGAATAAAACCGAATATTAAGCAGCCTTTACTGCAGTCTTCAGGGTCACATGATCATTTAGAAAGCATTTTAATATTCTGATGGGATGCTAAAAAACTTTCCTTCTTTTTCCTCATTTTTATTTAATTTTCATTTCATTATTAATATCAATGTTCAAAACAACTGTGCTAATAATCATTGTGTGTAAACAGTAAAACACTTTTGGGATTTTCTGATCAATTTAAAGATCAAAGAAGCAATTTATTTGAAATATTTTTATAAATAGTATTTGATGCAGAGTCAGCAAAAATCAGTCATAAATGTGATTTCAACATTACCTAAGCTAAACTGTAAACCTGCAGATTCAGAACCCGGATAGACACAGATTCCTAGTTAAACTGTCACCAGTGTGAGAAAGTTTCATGTGTTCAAACAGTAAAATAAACTTGAAGGTATTTTAGTCACAGACTAAAAAAAAATGTTGTGTACAGAACAGAAGGAAGACCACCCATTGTGAAATCTCATTGTCCTAATTAATTGTGATAGTGCCATGTGGATTAGTTTCACGTTCAGAATAGAATCAAATTCACTATTGCTTTAAAAACTGATTACGGCCATTTCTTACAGTGCTTTCAACGTCTTTCTTCTTTATCAGGGGTTGTCAGAGTGGAATTATCTGCCAACTATTCTCACCTTTGTACACTTTTGTAGATAAATATTTAAAGTGCCCCTGTATGCTATTTAAAAAGATATCTTTGAGCTGGAGGGCTTGAAATGGTCTGACATCTACCCAGAGTCTAAAAGCACAAAAGTGAAAATGTGAAGGAAAAAAGTGTCAATTTATGACATGTTGCATCAAATATCTTTGTTCCTCTTGTTCATTTCTGCACTGACAGTAATAAGCAATCACATCCTTTTCTGTTGAGCTAATGAAAACAAGGAGCAACCAGTTGCAGTTGAGAGTGCATCTTCAGTGACTAAATTCTTCATGCATGCAAATTCTATCATCATAAATAACAAAGTGTGCAGACAACGTACTGCAAGTGAGAGATTCATTTTGCAGCTTCAGTAATTATAACAGCCGTGTTTGTGAAAAATTGCATTATTTATTAAATTTATTATTTTTTGTCTGGACAATAAATGCTGATGAAGTCGGAAAAAAATGCAAACTCACTACAGAGTTTGAGAGAGAGAGTAAATGATGTTTGAGGGCATGCAACCAATGTAAATGTGTTACAGATCAATGTAGATCACTTATGGAAGTGAAACTGGAATTGCTGGTGACCCATTTCGGCAATTCAGAATTGATTCTTTTTAGGAAAGAATACTGTAGCTTTATTTATTGTGCAATTTGATCTTTAAAAGATTGCAGACTTTTACAGTCAGAAAGACACTAGCTATGTTTCCATCCACCTATTTTGCAAATGCGCATAAAAAAAACAGTTGATGGAAACGCCATGATGCGCATAAATTTTGAAAATGCGCATAAAAAACTTATGCGCCTAACTGGGTAGGATAAACTTTTTATTCGATAAGAAAAGATGCGCATGAACTGCGATGAAAACACTTTTACCGCACAAACTCCAGCATGCGCATTAAAAAAGGTCATGTGATTTTGTTAAAAGAGATCATGTGATGCTTAAAATGTTTGTGAATGGACAAAACGTCAGGCTGAGCACATTATAAAACATCTGAAATGTTGTTTTGGTCATTATAAAACGCCTTACCGTTTCAATATTAGTGTTATATTATTAATGACCTCCAGAATCAAGAGCGCCTGTGCTCCGCGTCTGACACCTTCAAACACCACTGCGTGCTCACTGCTTGTCAGAATTGTCTTCTGAGGCGCATTCATTTAGAAAAGATAGATGCAGCTTCTCCTACTGCAGCAAATGCAGTTTTTACTGTTGATATTTGCCGCCAGTTAATCAGGAAGTGACGATTTTGTTCGCTTTGACTCGTTGGGTGGAAACGCTGCTTTATGCGCAAAACTGGATTATCGCATAAAACTTGTGCGAATGAAGTTTATTCGCATTTTTGGATGGAAACATAGCTACTGTGGGCCTGTAGAACCTACAGTAACTTACTGGCAGAAGTCTAACAGTAAATTACTGTAAATCAATTACAGCAAAAATACTGTGTTTAAATTTATAGCACTATTTACCTTGTTACATATGTATTTACAGATTTGTGTGTACATATTTACCGTAAAATATACAGTATTTTTTCACAATGCAATGTTAAAATACACTTGCTATGTTTCCATCCAAAGATGCAATTTGAATTTATGCGCATAACTTGAATATTCCATAAAAGACGTGCGGATAAAGCAGCGGTTTCCAAGTAGTCAAAGAGAACAAAATCATCACTTCCTGAATAACTGGCGCCAAATATCAAAGGTAAAAACAGAATTTACTGCGGTAGGAAAAGCTGCGTGAATCTTTTCTTTATTTGCACCTCAGAAAACAGTATGCCGACATGCAGTAAACGCGTGGTGGCATTTGAAGGCATCAGATGTGGACCACATATGCTCTTGACAGTTCTGGAGGTCATTAATAATATAATAACACTAATACGGAAATGGTTAAGGTGTTTTAGAATGACCAAAACATTTTAGATGAGTTGCAATGTGCTCAGCTTGCTGGTTTGTCCATTCACACGTTTTTAGTTTATGCACATCTTTTATTATCAAATCAAAAGTTTATCCTACTTAGTTGCTTTTATGCGCATTTTCAAAATGTATGCGCATCTTAGCATTTCCATCAACCAATTTTTATGCGCTTATCTAAAATACAAAAAAGAGAATGGAAACGTAGCTAGTAACATACTACATAACTGTCCAACAGTAAAGTACAGTTCATCATATTACAGTTAAATACTGTGTAATTTACAAAGCAACTTACAATAAACACTCCATCAAAGGATGTTTTTAAAAAGCATAGAATGAGCCTTTTAGATATCTTTAGTGGGGTTTAAGTGTTTTGAAAACTAGTAGTAATGTATTAGTTACAGAATTCTTTCAGCATCCTCTATTCCCAAATAAAGACATTGCCAAAGCTAAAATACATTTAAGCATTTCAACATCAGCCTGTCTAACAGTTACTTTAGAAATATCACATTCTTGATGCAAGTTCAAAATTCCATAACTTATTATTTGTTAATAAACCGAACTGACTGGAATGTTTTCAGATGGCAGTGATTTCAGCTGGGCAATGGGTGGAGAATCGGTGGTGGAGGTGCAGCTCAGTTATTATCAACTCAGAATTTAGAGACAAACATTACATTTTAGTAGCACCTGCTCCGTTATGTTGGAGTGCATTAGTATACAAATCAGGATCTCTCAGACTGCACATTCCCTGTCAGCAAATTTTCCTGCGGTATTGGGAGTGTTAGAATCTACTTTTTTTAACTACTAATTAGTCTTCTTGCCTGCCAGTGACTCAGTAGCACAAACCTTCTGCTCATTTACTTTTACATTAGAGCAGTCTGATGCATTTAAGGCAGCAAAAGTCATATTATAAATTGGTTGAGATCATGCTCTGCACCAAAAATATTCCCATCTGGTGTTCTGCAGAGCTTTCTGTCCAGTGAAGTACTACTGGTAAAGCTTCTGGGCCTTAATCATAACACATTAGGAACTTGAAACTAATGTAAACCAGGCTAAAAAGATGAAGACAAACAAATCTGAAGTAAAACAATTGATGAAGTTTACATTTCTTGAGTAAATTATTACAGGATGCTCATTTTGGAGTCTTTAATACACTGCTAGCATACTGCTAATGTTTTAACAAATTGGTACTTTGGTACATTCGTACTTTGGAAAAATATTTCTAAAATACATGTTAACAAGTTACTAGCATGATTTAACATATACAAATGTTTCCAGCATGTGAACTAGTTGCTAGCATGATTTAAATCTATGAATTGCTTAGCAAAGTATTAAAACACTGCTAAAAGTACTGTAAAAAGACATTTTATTATATTAGAAAGTAAACTTGAAATCTTCATTCCTGTTTGTAAGCATGTTTATACTGCTGCTAACGCATTTCTCAACTAGAATA